AAATCGTAAATCATTACAAAAACAGACTAGACTTATTATTTTCGGTTACACATAAACACCTAAAAGGTCATATCTTACTATTAAAATTTTAAGTGATACATATAAACGCAATCATATATAATAGACCAATTCGCATTCACAAATTGGTACAAATCAACGCGCGTATATTTAATTTCACATTTTTAAAAGCATTAATGTATCATACAGATCTTGAATGTATATAATAATAAGATTCTTATATTTAGTATTTATTTAATATGATATATAACAAGACGACCATAACAAAAGCTCTCTTGTACATTCTTATAATCACATTCACTTCATATTTTTCATTTAAAAAGCTGAAAGTATACAAAATTATGCGTACACATACATCATGCATATGCGTCCATGATGACTTCAACGAATTGAAATTGAAAAAAAAAAACTTAAATATTTCATAAATTCCTCTTCTTATTTTAAATTTAGGAACTGGTTATGGAATTTACCTTGCTATCAAATCTATAGTTTCCATCTACTTTGTCTCTAAAAATTATAATTTTTCTTAAACGATTTTTATTGATTATACATATTAATTTATCAATAATTTTAATTTAAATGATAAGCAAAAAAAAATATCTTTTTATAAATAATTAACTCAACTAATTTTTTTAATTTTTAAAAATTATTATATTTAGAACTGAATGGAGTAATAAATAATCATGTTGCTGTCTTGTCAAAATTTTCCCCCTTATCCTAAGAGGAACAGTTAATGAAAATTAATGAATAAAATTAATTAAATTGTTTTATTCTAACATGGTAACATGAAATTAATTAAAACTGATCTTAATTTCTCTATCATATCCCATGCCTTAAGGAACACACCACGTACATCTTTAAAAGCTAACAGTTTACTCATAACTTAATATTAGTATAAAGGAACTGCATCCCTTTTTCACTAAGAAAAGGTGAATTAAACCTTAAAGCTTCCTCTCATTTTTTCTTGACATGAGAACTCAAATTCTAATTAGCTGCTAGTATTGGATCAGTGTGTTAAAATACCCCAAAAAAAAAAAGGCAAGTTTTTTTACTGTAAAGGAGCGTGCCCAAACTGGCTTCTGGAAATCACTTGCTTCCACACTATTTACGTCATCACTATATTTTTTTTTTATTTCACACAGCTGTATGAAATATACGTTTTTCTTTTAGTGAAAATGAAAGCGAAGACTTTTTAAAGTCCAAAAAAAATGAAAGGAAGAAGGCGAAGACTTCTTGTTTATTCATACCAAAAAGCTCATTCAAGAGTGTGATGAAGGAAATAATAAAATATTTCAAAACCATAGAAAATGGAAATTACTGTACTAGTTAGAACCCACGTGTTGAATAAGTTAAATATGCATTTATTTAGCTGAGACAAAATTTGACAAAATATAATTCAGGTTTGACTCAATCGTGTCCGTTCAAATTCATTAATAATGCCATTAGGGCATCATGTAAACAAAATTTCACATTGGCACGCCATCGTTTTTGCCCTTCGCCATCTCAGCTTCTTTCTTACTAACTTCTCAAGTTTTCCTATTTATGAAATAAAGAGAAAAAAATTTTTAGTCTTATTTATAAGATGGAAAGAAATTTTTTTTATATGAATATATAATTTTATTCTTTATAATATATATTAAATAGGAATAAGATTGAAAAGTTATTAAATTTTAAATGAAAATTAATAAAATTTAAGACTTTTTAAATTAGTATGAAACATTTTGAAAGCAACTTATAAATGAAATTGGAGGGGTATGGAAAAGTCAGTTTGCCCACTCATTTATTACTTCTGGTCCTAATTATAATATCTCATTTTAGTATACAAATAAGATTTTATAATTAGGAAAATATAAAAATTTTTTATAATTAGGACTAAAAGTAAAAAAAAAGTTTAAATTATTAGATAAATATTAATTAATTGTTAGCATTGATGATAATGATGTCAATAATTTAATATAACAGATGTGCCTCTGACGAGGACAAGCTTTGGATGTGGGCAGATGTGCTGTAGCAGGATGATGTGGACGTCCCATGTGAACCACGTGATGGTGCGGAGTAACCCTTACTAGGCCGACAGACATGCCACGTGTGTCCTTAGTTTATTGGTTGCTCTAGTAACTTTAAGCCGAGATCTCTGGAGCCTCCTTCCATACGCGCGGCAGCCTGTGTTCCTATCACACTCGCCACATTCTTATGCCAATTATATTTAAAATTTGGAGTTTTTTTTTTTAAATTGTTGTCATGGAATTCCATCTTCTTTAATCATGCTATTATTTTTTTATTTACAATTATCTTTATGCGAGTTCCATCTCATGCCTTCTTTCATCTTATTATTTTTAACCAAAAATTCTAATATTAGTAAGTTAAATTATGAAAGCTCATAAATTCAAAGTGGCTATACGTACATCCAAGCTTTATAAAAATAATCCATCTAGCCTAATTTTATAGGATAATATATTGATATATTGTCAGCAAAAAATATACATGCACTCATTGTATTTCCCAAAAAAATCGGGTGGATCAATGTGGGTAAAGGTTAAAAGTTTGAATATTTCAAGAGTGTATAAAAAAATTATAGAAATTTTTTAAAATAAAGACACTTTAAATTTTATTAAAATTACATCTACGTTCAGTACCTTTTAAATTTAGTGTGTGTATTTCAAAATTTGAAGAAAAGTCGTATGTGTACTTTTTAAAAAGAAAGAAACATGAAATTTATATTATATTTAAGATAAATTTATGTAAATTTTACGAATAATTATAGCAAAAGTAGCTATGATCATTTAAATATAAACTTTTGAAGTTAAGCTTGTTTGAATGTAGGAAAATACTTTGAGAGAATTATTTCTTTTTTTGTTGGATATAATACAGCCAAACACATAGGTGCGCAAATTTATTAAGGTCGTGTTTAAACAAAAAATTCCATCCAAACATGAAAAGTGACATTGTCCCTGGGTACCAACAGTTGATGAGATAATTATTTTTTATTTGAATTGACAATACATAAATACAGGTTGATAGTATAGATATGATTTGATAATATTAGCTAGATTTTATATATGAAATAAAAAAATCTTAAATAATAATAATAAATGGGCATTTTGTGTGTGTGTAGTTTTGTTTTTAAAAAATTGAATATTTGTATTGGGAAAGAAAAGGGTCCACGTATGTACGTAGAGACGGAAAAGTAGCAAGAGGAGTAGGATGTAAATTTTGTTTTGACTCGCGCGGGTGGCATCATCAAGTGAAGTTGCTTTCGAACTGGAGCATCTGCAGGCGACTTTTCGCAACAAGAGATAGAGATCAATAATTGAGAGAGGGTGGCCGGGCCGGACAAAAGGGCAAGGCGTCAAATGTCAAAATGAAGCTTGTTTTTAATTATTATATACATGAATGATTCCCATGGTCATCCCTTATCATCATCATTATAAGCCTTTAAAAACGTCTTGTCGCGGGGCGATCCCTATAACTAGGCTATAGAGTATATTCATTCATGTGAATTTCAACTCCGTCGCACGCCCCAGTAAATAATAAATACTGCTTCCGATCCTAATTATAAGACCTAGTTAACTTATTTGAGGAGATTAAGGAAGTAAGTTAAATTAGTTATTTGTAATAAACAAGTGTTGTTATTCCTAAAATATCCTTGTTAATTAAGTGTATTGGCTAGAACTATCATTATTAGAAGGACTATCTTGAAAAAAATACATAAATATGAGAGACAAAATGGATTGGGATCTTATAATTAGGACCAAACAAAAAGTCAAATGGGGTCTTATATTAAGAATCGGAGGCAGTACTAATTAATTAAATAAATAATAAAATAATAGATGAAGCCGCAATGTGCAATATAGGATACTTTTTGTTTTTACCACACCTGCACGTCTAGAACGCTACGACTAATCCCTATCTGTTGTTTCTGCTTTTTCTTGGGGTTTGGTGCAGCAATGCGACAAAAAACAGTCCATATATGGTGATTTCAAACTAAAATTGCAAAAAAGGCCCTTGCTGTTAAATTTGTGGCGTCTAAGCAGCCACTTCATTTGCCTTTGCATCTCATTCCATTCCCCAACCCCAAATATTATAATGAAACAATTACAATAATCCCCCCCCCCCCCCCCAATTATTGATCCCTGCCTGCGAGGGAAATTGGATTTGATGTGCCTGTCTTACCTGTCCACGACATATTTGCATCGTTCATTTTTTAAAAATCAGGCTTTAATGCGTTTCTTTTTAATCTTAAATGAAACTGAACAGGTATTTTATGCTGCTCAATAAATAGTTGACTCCTATCGAGTCCTAAGACGCTTGAAGAATCACGTGGGCTGTTATGTACACCACGTCAATTAATTAATTTGGTAAGTAAGTTTGAAGCAACGTAGCATGGGATCATTTTCACATTTTTTTGGATCAGAATAAAAAGGATATTAATAAGAAAATGAGATCACGTGAAATTTATGGATATACTAATGTTGTTCAATAATTAAAAACATGTCATGTTGTAATAAAGAAGAGACAACATTTTTTTTTTGGAAAAAATAACCACCACATCCTTATTTTATAGTACTACTTTTGGTCCTTAATATAAGATGACGTTTGATTTTTATTTTATTCATAAACATAAGACCCCTATCAACTTTATTTTTCATATTTATCTAATTTTTCTCAAGATAGTCCCTCTAATAACGGTAGTTTTAAGTTTTAACCAATAAATTTGATTAGTAAAGATATTTTAAAAAAGATAACAGCTACTTGTTATAAATAACTAATTCATTAAGCAAGCATTTAAAACTTCAAATCTTCTCAACACTCTTTTAATCCAGTGAGTACATGGGCTCAAATCGGACTGCAAAGCCCATTGACTTGCCCATGAAACTCAGTGATCTTGGCCCAAGTCGACGACTAAATGGATTTCATTCCCATGCTATGCCTTAGCTGCACGACGTCGTTTCCACCGTCTGTACTATCTGAAATCCTAACCCCCTTTGCCTCCTCTCTCCTAATGCCGGCGACACCTTCCCTCTCACTAGCAGAAGACATCGCCCGAGTCTCTGATCTTCACTTCTGCTGCTTCCGTAGAACCTCCCGCTGCGTTCTTCGTCAGTCTTCCTTTCGTTCTCGGCGGAATCTCTCTCGGTGCGTGGGTGAGATTCTCCAGCCGTTTCTATCGTTCAAGGCTCAATCCTTCAGGTAATTTCTTCTACTTTTCTGAATCCCGACTACTTTTGTAATTTTAAATGTATTGCTTATGGGCTCTGGCAGAGAAGCTTTTTAGATTGATAATTGTAAAGGCGGGTTTTCCATATCCTGCATTATGTTTTGCTTTATATTTGTATTTTGGGTTTTCATACAACATGAAACATCTATCGAACTTCATATATTGGTTTATGCGAATGGTGGGGGGTTTACTTGCTCGCTGGAGGAAATATGGAGAGGGCAAGGGGTTATACGCTTGTACTGTACAATAAAATGGATATTAAAATAAGGAGTTTAGAGCTCAGCTTTCATGAATTATGAGGGGGAAAAGGGTGTTACGGTTGAGCACCCTTGCTGTCTGCTAGATTAGTCGTCCGTCGCAACAATCAGCTTTCGATCTTATTGGCGTTGTTCTCAACGTCTTATCTTTTTAAACCATTTAAGTTTCTCTTAAACGCCTTTCTTTTTGAATCAATCAGATGGCTTTGAGAGGGGTTTGGCAACTGCAGAAGCTGATTGTGAGCTATTGTGATTGGGGTGGAAGTAGCAGAGGAATAAGGTATGCTTCTCATTATTATAATTTCAAGTTTTGGTTTGCATTTTAATCAGGGTTTATTTGTTTGTAGCGTTTTGTTCAAAATTAATTGCAAGGGTGAATTTAAGTACTGCTGTATCCAACATGCCGTTATATAGGGTTATATTGCTCTCGTGATCTGTTTCTTTCATTCGACGATAATAAAGTGTGATGTACTTTCATTATATTCAGTCATCAATAGCCGATATGTAAGTTAACAGCCATGCTCATTTCACCTTAAGTTATTTATTCCCCGCTATGAACTAAAGAATGATTTTGAAAATTATGAATAGTCCCTTGGTTTTATTGCAAATTTCCTCATTCATGACCTTATGTTTGATATTCATACTAGGTCTAGTAGTTATAGGTTACCAATTTTGATATATTCCAAAACACATTTTTCTTGTACACTAAATAATACTCCTCCGGTCCTTGTTATAAGACCCAATTTGACTTTTTATTTGGTCTTAATTATAAGACCCAATCCATTTTGTCTCTTATATTTATGCATTTTTTTCCAAGACAATCTTTCTAATAATGATAGTTTTAGCCAATATACTTAATTAGCAAGGATATTTTAGGAATGACAACACTTATTTATTATAAATAACCAACTTAACTTACTTCCTTAATCTCCTCAAATAAGTCAATTGAGTCTTATAATTAGGACTGGAGGAGTACAATTTTTCTCACAAAAAAAGAATACAATTTTTTTGGGCTTTGTATGCTTCCTTTGGAAGAAGTTTTCCTTTCGTTTTGGCTGTGCCATTCTTGTGGGTTGTAAAAGATGTTTCCTTACGTGAATCTGTGAACTTTACATTGACCATCCGCCATTTCTTAAAGAGATGGTTGGTGTTTTTCAATGACAAGTAGTTCTTGCTTGTACGGTGCTTTTACTGTCATATTTTTTCGCACCTATATTTTATTGTCTTATTGTTAGTGACTTTGAACTTGGAATCATTGCATTTTACTTTTTAGAATTCAGTTAAATGCAGGATTTAAACTTATACCACTTCTTGCTGATTCATTTCTCCTCCCTGTTGCCTTGTCTGTTGTGATGTAGGGCATTTATGGAGTCTCAGTTGCCAGTTTTTAAGGAGAGGAATCCTCAACTAGAGGTGGTTACAGAACTTATTCGTGGTCAGCATCCCCATCTGAAGGGCTTCTACAGTAAGACTTTCAAGCGCACACGTAAATTGTAACTTAATTGCTGAAACTTCTATGAAGTTTTAATTGGAAGATTCTCTTATGAAATGCAGAGAACAAAAACCAGAGGGTGGTATGTGTGAAGAATATGGATCCAGATGACATACTTCTCCATGCGACCAGGCTTAGGAATGCGTTAGGAAGAAAAGTTATAAAACTGAGGACTAGACATGTGACCAAGCATCCCAGTGTGCAAGGTACATGGACAACTGATGTGAAATTTTAAGTTGCTCAGATCTGTGGTACGAGGAATCCTTCTTGCTGCGAAAGTTTAAGTTGCTCAGCTTTTTAACTTGCCCCAATCACTGAGAACTTATCAAATATTTGTTATAAGGTACAAGTTCTTGAATAGACCTTAGAAATTTTAATTTTTGCTTCTGATTGCTCATCTCCCGTTCTCCACTCTTATATTGCGCAGTGAATTGAGCTTTAACTGCATCGCAGATCAGGGTTCGTAAGACGTATCATACTTAATGTATTTCCACTAGTCTTCAGTTTTATAGGGGCATTTTCGTAGGCTCGGCAAACTTCATTTGGTTATGATCTGAAAGAGAGAACTAGAACACCGTTCTTTTAACCTTCTGTAACGCGTCCATGTGGTTCTCTCATGCTTTGAAATGGCTGCAAGCATTTCTCCATCTTCGTAATTTCCCGATAAATCCCACGTCGTACTTGAGTTTTGATGTGTAATTGAGAAACCATTGGAGGAAGCAGGGGAAGCAAGCCACTGCGTCGAAAGCAAACCCCTCCCGTGGAGGATCAAAATAAGATCTTAAAATATGTAACATTTGATTTTGTTGCACACATGGTCGCATATTATGATTATATTACCTCCGGTGTTTAATGTAAGCTAGTTTGACTTTTATTTTGATTTTAAATATAAGACTTTAATTTACTTTGTCTCTTATATTTTTTTTTAAGGTAGTTTTTGTAGTAATAGTAGTTTTAGCTAATATACTTGATTAATAAGGATATCTTGAAGAAAAAAAACACATTTATTATAAATAACTTAATTAACTAATTTTTTTAATTGACTCAAAATAGTTAATTAGTTCTTATATTAAGGATTGGGGTAGTACTGAGCATTCAAAATACGGTGGGTACATGATTAAGGGAATGGGAAAGTCAAGGAACTGAACAAACTTAAAAACCTCGAAAAGTTTAAGATGCTGTTTATGGCGAATGGGGAATCATCAAACCATATTTTGAATCATTATATTATATGGAATGATATCGCTTTGCAACATTAAGAAATGATAACTGGTATGAATTATTCCATAGCCTCATACTATTTCAGGTTGTTTTTAAATTAAACGAAGAATGAGACCATAAAATTATTAGAGAAGCTTAATCCGCATGAAACCCAAAAAAAAAAAATCATAGTTTTAATTTAATTTTTTATAGTTTTGATTTAGTTCTTTTTTTTAAACAGAAAAGAGTCAATTTTATTGATATTTCAAAAAAAAAAAAAAACACTCACAAATAGAGAAAGCAGTAATTTTGATTTAGTTCTTCAATTCCAGGAATTATCAATATCAATATGCAACTGCAAATAGCGTGGCCTTGCCACGTGCCATCAGTTTTTGGCTTCTATTGTTCATTTTGCCCCTAATTTCAAACTCCATGGAGATTGTTCCGGTTAATTAAAAACATACTTCTTTTTAATATGATCGAATTATGAAATATAACAAGTTTGTTCTTTCAATTCCTTTAATTTTAATTTAATCTTTTCATTTCTACTTGATATAAAAGTAATATGTGTTTGATATTTGTCTTTTGACTTCACATCCCTACATCAAGGATCATTTACAAATATTAAAAAAAATGAAATGAGTATTTTTTAGAAACCTCAAATTATAAACTAAAGATCATCTTATAATATCAAAATTAAAAAAAAAAACAAATGAAACCTAAAAGTCAAGAACTGAAATCCTTAGAGTATTAGTAGTTTAGTACAATGACAAAGTCATCATTTATTGGTACGAAAATAATTGTGAACAAGAACAAACAAACAAAAACACCAGGAAGAAATATATATATATATATATATATATATGAACTTAAAATAATAATTTATTTACTCAGAAACAGTGATGAGAACAAGTGGTGCAAGATGAAGTACTGATAGGATAGCTAGGGTTGTTCAAGACATGGAATGGAATTAGGATAGATTTGTTCCTGTTCCATCCTGATAAATAGAAATAGGATAGAAAATTTGTCTTGTGTTCTGTTTCATCCTGGTGTTGTCTAGGTCCTTTTGTCTCCTTTTTTGTCTAAAAAAAAAATGTTTTTGCCTTGTGGTTAGACCTATTACAATGGATTTTGGTTTTTTTTATCCCTCCTATTTTTAGTTTTTTGAGCTTAGCCTTTTTGAAAGTATCTTTTGTTTTTTTTTCCTTTTTTTTTGGGCTCAACCCTCTCAAACAAAAGCCCAAATAAATAATAATAAGTAATATGATAACTCCAAAATTTATTTTCATCATTTCAAAAATCATAAACTACTATAAAAGCTCTAAATAAAAAAATAATCATTCAACTATATATGTGTTGAAAGCTAAAAATATAAACATCTTGTATTACACACGCCTTAAACATTTTGTATTTTTAACATTTAATAATTATAATATGATAAAAAAATTGAAAAAAATTACTATTAGGACGGGATGATCCCATCCCGTCTTGTCCTGTCCTAATATGACTAGGACTGGGACGGGCCTATTTTGAATACCTCTAAACATAGTTAGTGTTAACTAACTATAATGGAAGATCAAATTAGGATGCAGTGGAAATAACAAAGGGCAAGCAATGCTGGTCACAAAGTTGTACTTAATGTGCTTCACCCCACCCCCATTCTTTAATCAAATACAAACCAGTATCCAATTTTGAGCAGTTCTATTGCTTAAAGGTCTAGTAGTACATTCCCAGCACTGAATAATATGCAGACTAGTCTCATGAGACATAAAACATTTAAAGTTGATATAATTCCTTGAGATTGTAAGGTTGTGCCACCCTGTGATCTTCATTCCAAATTAGGTCAGAGATTTGATGGTATGCTTTTTCAGTAGGATGAACAGCATCAAAGATCAAATAGTCTTCCACATCATTACACACTTCATACTCTTTCACAATAGTCCTTTTCCCCCCACAGCTTTGCCATCCTCTGTACGGACCACCACCACAACATCCCATTTTGCTTTCCTTGAAGCCTTTTTAAGTATCACAGAACCAATACTGATCAATAAGTTTGAAGACTATAAAGAATTATTTAAGATTACAGAACAGAGCAGGATAGGCTGAAATGGAACTTATATTACCATATTTTGAAGGTGACTTTATTCTTACACTAAGTGAAGTGTAAAAATCAATGTATGAGTATTTAAACCCTTCTAGCTGAGCTTCGAGTCCACGGAGGGCTTCACTTAGTGCTTCATTGTGTAATTTTACAACTTGTGTAACATTTTCAACGCAGCCATCTTGAGCTGGTGGGATAAGTGCTTTAATTAGAGGCAGGCATCCTAAAGGAGGCAGGTTTAGGAATCCAAACTTTCTCCCTCCTTTCTTATATATTTCCTGGGGAAAAAAAAAAACTAGTTCAATCTCAGATTGAAACCTTCAAATTGCCAATCAGACAGATTAAAAAGTTTTCAGAACTTATGAATAAACACTTACTTTGACCACACTGGTCATGTTGCCGATCACCATGTCAACATATTTTTCTTTAGGGTACGTCGGAAACCTGGAAGAGTTAGAAACGAAACGTACAAAGTAATCATTGGTTCCCATGCTAAACAAGAAGATAGCTTTGGATGATAATCTCTTGGCTTCTTCATCTCCCAGCCTCTGCTTCAGCAATCGCACCATATCATTGAAATTCCTGAGTTGACCATTAAGGTCTATAACCTTAGAAAAAGTTCAATGCAGAGTCAACAATTTACTCTTTCAATAATGTTTCTGCCATAATTATAGTAACTTAGATCAAGTTACCATCTTATCGGTTCCTTGTAAGATTAGTTTTATTTGGAAGGGAGAAGGAGCATTACATAGGATCAGCTAGCAAGCAGGCAGTTTAAGGAAGAATCTGATTACCATTTTCTGTTATCGTTATTTAGCTACACGCACCTGTCTAAATAGGATTACCATTTTAATCTGATAATAAAAAAGGAAATCAACAAAATTAAAAATAACACCAGAGCATAGAATTTTGTCCTGATAAGCTCTACATTGTGAAAAATTAAAAGCGCATTTTTCCTATGCTAAAAATGTAATAGAAAAGCATTTAGCTTCTAAAGGGAGAATCACATACAAATCCTTGATTGGTTTCAACAAGGGCACCAGCACCAGCTGATGCAAAATTTGCGCCATCAGCATATTGTTGAAAACCAGGTTGGAGGTATGGCGGTATAAACGGCAGCTTTGCATATTCAGCTGAGACAAGGGTTCAATGTTAGACAAACTCATGTTGAAACATAAAATATATTCCCACATAGACTTAGCCTATATGAGTTATGAATCAACATGTGAGCATGCCAAAGATCAGTACAACATGAAAGCAGCCTAAAGCACAGATGCAAATCTATTACCAATGAAGTCTGGAATCAGGCGTCCATTAGAAGGTCTTCCGGAAGGATACTTAAAAGTAGTATTCCCATACGGCCAGAAATTTGCCTGGAAATCAGCTGCTGTGTTGATGTAGTTATTGTTTCCAACATCAAATATTGAGTCTCCAAATATGAATAGGGCCACATGTTCTTTTGGCAAACAAAAGAAGCCATGGCAGATATAAAGGCCGGCACTGAGAACCAAGAAACAAATATGAATCGTTGAATTTTCCATTCTGTACTTGATTAATGTTTTCTCATCTATATTTCGCAGTTAGCAGCTGCTATTTTTATAGGAAGAGCTCATCCATTTTTAAATTGGACCAGATACAGTTTGGTTTCTTGAAAGGCTAAAATTTCAGGGCAAATCCTTGCTGATATAAGCCATTGCGTTATCAGCAGATTGTCTGTTCAAACTTTAATTCAAGATGACTCTGCAGTTAACGTCAATCAGTGCTTTGAATAACTCAAACATAATGCAATAGCCGGGTGCTTTCAACTTTTGCTAGTCAAAGTTTTCCCTTCTATTTAATAATATTGTTGAACTTTTTCTGTTTCTTTCCTTTTGGTTGTTTTCTTCAAATAAACTTTTCACTGTATGATTCCTTACTAAGTTTAATATCCGCCATCAAGTCCTTGATTTGTACTGTTTTTCTCTAGTGCACTGATATGCGTTTTGGAAGGGTAAAGATAAATTCAAAGCATGAAATGAGTTCTGCACTCGACTAAAATCTTATTAAATTAAATTATATGCATAATTTTTATATCTATTATTCTGTTCAGTCTTCTTTGGATTAACATTGCAGTAATGAGAATTAATTTTCAATTTTCTTTCGCTGTTCTTCGTTAATTTGGGCATATCAATAGAAAAGTTAATGAAATTTTAATCTGATCTATAAAACATGGATACAATTATCTTCATCTGTCTGACATGTTGGACAGCAAACTCATGTAACTTCATATGGAGCTAATTGCATTGATATCCGTGATTCCGGAAACTTTCCAGATGATGTCCAGTATCTGAAGAATGGGATATACCGAGGAAGAAGATACAAATTGAAGGGCAAAAAGCTCTGAATTTATTTCACGCAATTATTGAACAGAGAAGCTCCGTATGAGCCATTTATGTGATTAGCTAATAACAGAGCTGGAAACGGATGATGTTCTGTTCATTCAAAATCGAAATAGTTGTCTTAGATTGTAAGGCTTGTTGACTGTGAGATTCCCACTCCACATCAGCTGAGAGAGAAGCTGATTAGCCTTATCAGTTGGGTGAGCAGAATCGAAGAACAAATATTCACTGACATTCTTGCATAACTTGTACTTCTTTATCCCTCTCTTGCCTCCACAGCTATTATCTCCTCTGTAAGGGCCACCCCCGCAACAAGCCACACTCCCTTCTTTGAAACCTTTCAAATAACCAGAGATCAGCAAATTGGTAGGAAAATGCCAACAATCTAAAGCATTCGATAATTTTCAAATCTTAGTACCAGAAATTCAATCTTCTAAAAAAGTTTTATTTACATGTTATGATTTGAGCAGAGAAACCAGTTTACTTTGGAAATGGACATCCATATTTCATGTCACTTCCCGTGGCGTTTTAGAGATGTTACTGTAGCAAAGGCTAAGAGTAATGTTCACAAACAGTTTCGAGATATACCATATTTTGAAGGGTATTTCATCACTTGAAGAGCCGAATCGTAGAAGTCAAACACTGAATATTTGAATCCGTCGAGCTGTTTCTCCAGCTTCAGAAGCATTCTCGAGAACTCATCGTTGTGGATCCTTGCAACTTCTAACAGCTTTTCATCGCAAGCGCCTTTGGTCCCATTCACGATCATTTTTGCTCCAGGAGAACAACCCGCAGGACCCACATTAACAAATCCAAACTTCCTTCCTCCTATGGTATGAATCTCCTGAAATCAAAGCTACCGTGAAGTTTCAGAACTATGAACAAAAGGGAAGAAGCAGAAGAGAACAAAGTAAGAAAATTTGAAGCGAAAAAGGCGAAATTTAATTAGCTGCATTAACATACTTTGATCGCGGTTGTTAGGTTTCCAATCACAATATCAATGAATTGTTGTTGAGAGTAACGAAGAAACACACTTGAATTTGAGCCGAAACGTGCTCCATAGTCATTGGCTCCAATGCTAACCAAGTGCACGGCTTTGGAAAAAAATGCCTTGGCTTCTGCATTCCCCAGTTTCTTCCTCAATACATTGCTTACATTCTTGTAATAACTCACCTGGGTATTTAGGTCTAGCACCTAGAATAGACAAGTAACTTAGGATTTCTTGCATTTTCCATAATAACACAATCAAGTCGTGACTATATATATCTATGTGGGTTGATGATAGTGTAAACTGATCTCACATATTCTGGAGGAGAAGTTTCAACCAAAGCGCCAGCTCCAGCCGATGCAAAATTTATCCCATAAACATAGTAATGTTCAGAATCTGGATGCAGATATGGTAATATCAGCGGCAACTTAGCATATTCAGCTGCAACAACAATTCGATTCAAGTAATTCCAATTACCAGATATGAATTATAGATGATATCGTAACTGCAGTTTTGTAATAATCTCAGAGGATTCATAAAGGTAACAAAAATCTTTGCCCCAGACATAGAACTTAATTAGCGTACCAATGAAATCTGGAATAATACGTCCATCAGAGAATCTGCCAGATGGGTAGTTGAAGAAGGTTTGACCATATGGGGGATAGTTAGCCTTGTTTGCCGGGAAAGAAGGGCTGAGATAGTTATTGATTCCTGCGTCGAATAGAGAATCCCCAAATACGAACAAGGAAGCTTCTTTCTCATGCAACAAGCATCTATTCCCAGAACAGTTGGTGATTTGATTAGCAATACTCATCAAGAACACCGACAAATACGCATAGATCATCCTTAAACTCGCCATATCGCCACTTGCTTGGTTACTTCTTACTCAGTTTGATGTACTATTGCTTTCGTTGGCTTTGGGTTCTCTCATAAAATAATATAATAACCAGAGACAAATGATTTCAATACACGTTTTCTCAAATAAGTTAAAATATGGACAATGACATAGATGATCGAGGGAGTATCCAAGTCGTAATTTGAACAACATGTCTTTCAACTTCAATCCAGGAGATCGTTGTTTTGAAAAGTCTGATAAAGAGTTAAAGACTAATCGAAACAAGGCAAGTCTGAGAAAGAGTTGAATTACTGAATAGTAGAGTCGTGGAGATCCGCGAAACCTGAGATTTTTTAGAGCCGTCAACCACAAAGTGTTGACTTTGACTTACTATTTAAGTGTTACAACTTGTACAACTTACAAGTAATTGCAGCTAGGGGAAGAAAACACTGAATTTATTTTCATACAAAGTGAAATGGGGAGGTACATGCTCGGAAGCAAATACTCCTCCGGTCCTTAATATAAGACCCATTTAACTAATTTGATTAGATTAAGGAAGTTAGGTAAGTTAGTTAATTATAAGAAAAGTGACACATTTTTCCTAAAACACCATAATCATCTTTCTTAATACCCCTCTCCTTCTTCTACTTGATTATGGTTGAGAGAGTATCCATAGGGGTAATTTAGAGAAAATTGATAAATATGAGAAATGGATCTTATATTTAGGACCAAAACCAACTCAAGAATTGGGTCCTATATTAAGGACCGGAGGAGTATTATTTAATCAATCAAAGTACAACAACTTAAAATTCGAAGAGTTGCTCCATATTGTAAGGCTTATTGAAAGTGAGATTTGCAGACCACATCAGGGATGAGAAATGCTGATTAGCCTTCTCGGTGGGATGAGGAGAGTCGAAGAAGACGTAGTCATTCACATTCTCACATAACTCGTACTTTTTTATTCCTCTTTTACCCCCACAGCTATCATCTCCCCGGTATGCTCCACCTCCACAGCATGCCACTTTCCCTTCTTTGAAACCTGCTCATCATAATTCCAATAATTCGATAAGTATCACAACCACGACCTTCTCTGTGTGTGTGTGTGTGTGTGTGTGTTAACTTTCGATTCTTCTTGACCTATGATTATGCTGGGATTTGAAAGTTTCTGTTTCTCAGTATTCAATCCTGAAACAGGGGGCTCCTCCTCTGTTTTTCTGGCAACATTTTATGAGTAAAGCAGAGAGGCATTTGGCCAAAAAAAAAAAAAACAGAGAAGCAGACGATCCATATTCAATTTTATGCGAAGAACACTGTGAACTAAATAACGTGGGACGTTGAAAAGTAAGAGTTTCAATACAGATACCATATTTGGAAGGGTATTTCATCAACTGAGAAAGTGAACTGTAGAAATCGAAGACTGAGTATTTGAACCCCGCGAGCTGTTTCTGAAGCTTCTGGAGCATTGTCGGAAGTTCAACATTGTGTAGCTTTGCAGATTCTATCATTTCTTCATTACATTTATATCCTTCTACTGTAAACCTAATGGTCGGAGTGCAACCTATAGGACCCATATTCACAAACGCAAATTTCCTTCCTCCTAGGTTGTGAATTTCCTGTAAAACAACACATATTTTTAGAATTATGAGCAAATGGGTAGGACCAACAGAGAAGAAAGCAAGAAACTTGAACGTTAATTTCTGTTATATATAAATCCACATACTTTTATGGCATCCGTGATGTTGCCAATCACAATATCCACTAACTGGTGTTTAGAGTAACGAAGAAGATCACTGGAATTTGAGACGAAACGTGCTCCATAGTCATTGGCTCCAACACTGAAAAGGTGCACCGATCTGGACAACAATGTTTTGGCTTCTTTATTCCCCAGTTTCTTCCTCAGAACATCTCTCACATTCTTGTAATATTTCACCTGTGTATTTAAGTCTACCAACTGAAAATAAACGTAGAAAAAATGTATTAACTTTAGAAGCAAATTACGATCACCTCTTCAGCAATGTCGCATATAATTTAAATAAATGACCACATTAACACTAGAAGATAATGAGACTAATAACATACGATTCCTTCACTAGTTTCAATCAGAGCTCCAGATCCCCCTGATGCAAAATTAACCCCAAAGATATAATCATCAAGGGACGATGCTGGATGCAGATATGGTAGTAAGAGTGGCAACTTGGCATATTCAGCTGCATCCACAACAAAGTTGAACTCATAAAACATATGACAAAACATTCATGTGAACATAATTATGCAGATACAAAGCCAGAGAACTTCTAAGTGAATGTATTCAGTTGATCACTGATACACACGCGCGCACCAATGAAATCTGGGATGACTCTTCCGTCGGAAAACCTGCCGGTGGGATACTTGAAGAAAGTTTTGCCGTACGGTTCGAAGTTTGCCTGAGCTGAAGTGGTGGTGTTGATGTAGTTGTTGTTTCCGACGTCAAATAGCGAGTCACCAAATATGAATAAGGCTGCTTGCTTTTCCGGCAGGCAGATTTTGCTTTGGCAGCAAGTGATTTGAATAGAAACGATAGCATAAAAAACCATGGAATACATGAAAACTCTTAAACTTCCCATGATGGCACTTGTCTTGTATGTTGCCGCTGTGTCAAACATTTGGTTGCAGAGGTCACAATTTATAGTCTTCATTAGAGATTTTTTCTCGAGCAAATTTCAGTCCCCCCCTCCCCCGGAGGGGAATTAGTTAAATTCACAGGTATATTACCCATCGTAAACTTTTCTTTGCGACATATATTCCAATGGATAGATGGCATACAACTAACAACGTATACATGTCAAACTTCAAAATAAGATAGAGAATGGGAAAAGTACATTAAATTTAGCCGTCCCCTTAATCCGATGAACGAGTCATAGGAATGCTTATTATTAGTTTATATTACATCTAGTTCTTAATATAAGAGTCAGTTGACTAATTTGAATACATTAAGAAAATTTGTCAAGTTAGTTATTTATTAGGTGTTTTTTTTTCCCTAGAATACTCTTGCTAATCATATATATTAGTTATAACTGTCATTTGATGAAATCTTTAACATATGCAACCTCTACAAAAACTATTTTGAAAAAAAAAAGTTAAATATAAGAAACAAAGTAAATTGGGATCTTAGATTTAAAACCAAATTAAAAGTCAAGCTAATTCTTATATTAAGAACCGGAGATAGTATTATACTATTCCTCCTCTTCTGACTGCTATATATATATTTTGGTCCAACTACTGACTGCTATATACACCAAACTAATTAACGCCATTCAAACTTTGAAGTCAAAGAGTTGTTTCAGGTTGTAAGGAAAGTGAAATCAGCATTTGCAATCCACATGGGGTTGGCGAAACGATAAGCAGCAGCTTCTGTAGGATGAGCAGAATCAAAGAAGACGTGTTCATTAACATTGTCGCATAACCTCATATTCTTCAACCCCTCTTTTGCCTCCAAAGCTATAATCTCCTCTGTATGCTCCATCGCCACAGCAAGCCACCTCCCCTTTTTGAAATCTTCCCAATAACAATTTACAAATCATGTTTACTTACAATATTACTGAAAAAATATTTGGGATTCTGGAGTATTTTTTTTCAGTAACACTTATTATTAGCCTAAAATAAATTTTCATGCAATTTTACCATTCAAGTTTTTTTTTTTTTAGTACTAACAAACACCCTAAACTTAAAATACTGACTGTTGTTATTGAAAAAATACGTTAAGGTGTTTGTTGGATACACCAAAAATCATTTTAAAATATTGAGTATTATTGAAAAAAAATATTTTAAGACAGCAGCTAGGTGCATTAAAAATTAATTTAAAATATTGAGTGTTGGAAAATACCTCAAAAATGTTACTGAACATGCAACTAATAATTTTGCAGGGCATACCATATTTGGAAGGTTATTTTGTTAGTTCAACAAGGGCACTGTAAAAGTCAGTGAGAGAATATTTGAATCCCTCAAGTTGGTTCTCCGGTTTCTGAAGCATTGTGGGAAGAGCTCTATTGTTTAATCTTGCAATTGCTGAAGCTTTCTTCTTCCCGGCACGCATCTAGGCTGCTTCCATTTACAAGCAACCTTACTATTGGAAAACAGTTAATAGGACCCACATTAAAAACCCCGAACTTTCTTCCATCTTCCCTGTAAATTCCCTGCAATTTTATACGTAAAGTTGAGAATTGTTAGATCGAGGAACACCAATTCTCGTAAACATACCTATATATATAGCTGTTGGAATGGAAAGAGTTTAAATCTTTTCTCATACTTGGACGACGCTTGATTTGTTGCCAATCACAACATCAACAAATTCTTGAGGATCTGGAAGCACAGGAGTGCTTGAGTTTGTGAACAAAACGGCACCATAATCATTGCCTCCAGCGTTAATAATGTAGACACTAGACAGCTCTTCCCAGAAATGCCTTGGCTTCTCGATCTCCTAGTTTCTTCTTCAATAGCTTGCTAACTTGTTTGAAGTAACTTGCCTGAGTTTGCAGGCCTATCACCTAAAGTAATAAAGAATATAGCCTTAAGGCTTCTCAATCATCATCCACTGCACACTATAATTTAATAGTGAGACTAGTTAGTGACAGCTTACAGTTCCTTGACGAGTTTCAACCAAAGCTCCAGATCCTGCTGATGCAAAATTAGCCCCAAAGATATAATCATCAGGGTACGATGCTGGATGGTAGTAATAGCGGTAACACGGCATATTCAGCTGCATCCACAACAAAATTAAACTCAATTATAAAAAGCTTGACGCAGCATTAATATTAATATAATTGCATATACAAAGCCAGGCAATGCTCTAAAAGAATGTATTGAGATGATATCGGTCACTACATATATACCAATGAAATCTGGTATGACCCATGCATCGGAAAATATGCCGTTGGGATGCTTGAAGAAAGTTTCGCCGTATGGATCGAAGTTTGCCAGAAGAAAAGTGGTGGTATTGATGTAGTTGTTGCTTCCAACGTCAAATACTGATTCTCCAAATGTGAATAAGGCTGCTTTGCTTCTTAGGGAGTCGGATTTTTCTTTGGCACGAGTGATTTGAACAAAAACGATAACATTAAGAACATGAAATACATGAAAGCCCCAGAATTCCCATATTCGCACCTGTCTCTTATGGTGCCGCGTCAAAGATTTGGAGGCAAATTTCACAATATATAGTTCTCATTAGAGTATTTGTTTTACTAATTATATACGTATAATCCCTTGAATTTTGGATTATCTTCAAATAACTTCTCTAAGCCTTAAATCTTGACAATAAATCTCTCTAAAATTTTGAATTTTTACAAATCGGGAGTCAAATTATTTTGTCAAATCAAATTTTTACTTTATATGTAATTCAAGGAAAAGCAGTGATAATCAAAGTGCTTTTTAATTTGAATAACAAATTTTAAATGCATTACATTGACGCCCCCAATTCATTACAAAATCATAGTTAACTACCCAATTCATTACAAAATCATAGTTAACTATGTCATAGTTTGGTGTTGGTTCCAAATTTCTTGGTCCAGCAAAACTCTCATATGCACATCATACATAATGGTCTTGCTTTATAAATTTGCTTTTATCTCGAATTATTTGACCATGTTTCTTTTCTTGTTTCTCAAGATATTCCCTTGCTTTTAGGAGTTCTCTCCTGGGACCTTGGTCTTGAACTTGTATTTTGTTTTGAACATTTTATCGTTGTCTTTATAATATATTTTCATAAAACATAATGAATCATATTGTACGTCCTACCATTTTCTTTTTGTGAAATTACTCCCTCCTCCCCGCAATTACTGCCTTCCTCATAAGTTGTGTCAAAGCTGTATTGTGTATTTTGTCTGTCGCCATCAAATTTTCCCTTTTAATGTAATGTAGTTGAATGAATCATTGTATTTTGTCTGTTGCTTCCTCCCCCACAACGTACATTCTATGTACCCTCCCCTCCATCAATCAAACACATGGGGCGTTTAGTCCCCCAGCGATACCCCCTAACTGATTGTGAAAGGTTATACTAAGTTTTTAATATAAGAGGTAGACAACTAATTTAGAGATATTAAAAAAATTAGTTAAATTAATTATTTATAATAAATATGTGTTGGCTTTCTTAAACTATCTTCATTCAATTAAGTATATTGAAACTATACTTGAGTGGACATACTTTACAATTAATAGAGATATTTTTTAGAACACTTCATAAATTTAAGAGACAAAGTGAATTGAAATTTTATATTTAGGATCGCCAACTAGTTTTTATATTTAGGACCGGAGGCAGTACAATCCATTTATTAACTGATTCAATTTTAAGAGTATACGCATTAATTATACAAGAGCGACTTCATTTATTGAACAACGCTTACCTATAGGGCGCGCAGAGCCATGATACGACATGGATAGAGATGTTTATGGTTTAAGCAGTACACAACAATGAAACCAACCATGCATTATTCGTGACGTGGACTTAGGAATATATATATCTATATAAAAGAGCTACATGTTGAAGAGTTGCTTGAGATTGTAAGGGTGAGTGAAATCACTATTCCCAGTCCACATGAGGCTGGCGAAATGTTGAGCAGCAGTTTCTGTAGGATGGCTAGAATCGAAGAAGACATAGTCATTAATATTGTCGCATAGCTCAAATTCTTCAATCCCTCTTTTGCCTCCGCAGCTATTATCTCCTCTGTATGCGCCTCCTCCACAGCAAGCCACCTCCCCTTCTAAGAAACCTTAATCCCAATTACAATCACAAATCATTATTACTTACAAATTAAATTACTGATACGAAGTTAATAACTTTGTAGGGCATACCATATTTGAAAGGGTATTTCATTACGTCAACAAGAGCACCGTAAAAGTCAGTGAGTGAGTACTTGAGTCCCTCAAGTTGTTTCTCCAGCTTCTGAAGCATTGTGGGAAGAGCTCTTCTGTGTAATCTTGCGTTTGCTGAAGCTTCTTCTTCCTGGCACGCTTCTAAGCTGCTTATGTTCTTCATCATCCTGAATATTGGGAAACAATTCATAGGACCCACATTAAGCAATCCGAGTTTTCTTCCGCCTTCCTTGTAAATTTCCCGCAATTTATAATACACGAGTCTTAGGTCAGCTACAGGAAAAACAATTCGCGCACGTAAGTATATATATCTTTGGCATACTTGTATGACGCTTGTTATGTTGCCAATCACGACATCGACAAGTTGTTGTGGACGGTAAGGAAGAACGACAGTGCTGGAGGTCGTCAAGAAAGGGGCAGAATAGTCATTTCCTCCTATGCTGAAAATATACACAGCATTGGATAACAATGCCTTGGCTTCTACATCTCCCAGTTTCTGCTTCAACAGCTTGCTAACTTGTTTGAAGTGACTCACTTGAGTTTTCAGGTCTATCACCTGAAAATGTGCAACAAAATAATGTTTAAATTATCGGGAGGGCCTGTAAATCATATACTCCACTTCAACTTGCACAATAATATAATATAACAGTGAGACGAATTAATGGCATACAGTTCCTTGACGAGTTTCAGGCAGAGCTCCAGATCCTGCTGATGCAAAATTAGCCCCAAAGATATGATCATCAAGGTACGATGCTGGATGCAGATATGGCAGTAACAGCGGTAACTTGGCATATTCAGCTGCATCCACAACAAAATTAGACTAAAAAAAAACTTGACAAAACATTAATATGAATATAATTGCAGATACCGAACCAGACAACTTCTAAAAGAATGTAGAGACGATGAGTCACACACGCACACATACACATGTGTACCGATGAAATCCGGAATGACCCGTCCATCGGAAAATCTGCCCGTGGGATACTTGAAGAAGGTTTCGCCGTATGGATGGAAGTTTGCACGACCGAAAATGGTGGTATTGATGTAGTTGTTGTTTCCGACATCAAATAGTGAGTCTCCAAATATGAATAAGGCTGCTTGCTTCTGCGGGATGCAGATTTTGCCTTGGCTGACAGGGATTTGAATAGAAACGACAGTATAAAAAACCATGAAAGACACGAAAAGCTTTAAACTTCCCATGTTGGCACTTGTCTCGTATGTTGCTGTGTTAAAGATTTTGGTTGCAAATTTCACAATATATAGTCCTCATTAGAGTTTTTTCCCCCTAATTTTACATAATATTCTAAATTTTGGGTTGCCTTCAAATAACTTTTTTTTCATTCTTAAAACTTGACCATGATTCTCATTAAAAATTAAATATATACAGAATATTACCTTTGTTGTAACTTGTCTCAGTTTAAAGTCAAATTATTTTGATTATCAATAAAGTCAAACTATTTTGTCAAACCAAATTTTTACTTTATTGATAATTCAAGGGAAAATACTCTCAAACAAAGTACCTTTTAATTAAATAACTTCTTTAGTCCTTCAAATTGCGTTTGTTTGAATACAAATTTGATACTACAGTGACTTGGACAGAAAGTAATAGACAAGAAAGGAGGAATTTAAAACTAGTCTAAGATTATTATATTCAAATGTCTTAATCTGTTTGTGTCATTGATGACGACTTTGAGGGAGAACAAAAATAGAATAACAAATTTCCGAAAAGTGAGTCTAACTATTCAAAACACTGGGGGAAATAGTGACTTTCCAAGTAAAACTTTTTCAAGTGTTCGATGTTAATCTTCCAAAAATAGCTTTTACAGTTAAACTTCCCCAATCCAAAGCAAATTATGTGCTTTGTTTAAAAGAATAATTTCAACTGCTCGGAAAAAAAAATGTTAAACAAATAAATTGTACGTGAATTTTTTGATAAGTTAACTTTTTGAGAAATTAAAAATAATTTCGAATATAAAATATTTTAATGTGCACGGCCTTGATTATTTATATTTTATGATTTTTTTTTCAGCATTATTTATGCCAATAGCTTAATCATGAAAAAAGATCGTATTCAAATGGAACACGTTACCATGCCGCTGGATCGATCTCCAAATGATATATTTCTTTATATATGTGTGCGCGCGCGCGCGCGCTCTATATGGACATTCATGTCAGGATGGATGATTTGCAAATATTTTAGCCATTGAAGACTTTTCTTTGCGACACATATTCCAATGGGTACGCCGTACAATCAATAGCGTCTAGGAAAGTACATTTAGTCTTTCGTTAATCCCATGAATTAAGTCATAGGAAAGCTTATTATTAGTTTATATTCCCCTTGTACTCACAGCTGTATACAATAAACTAATTAGACCACTTCGATCAAATTCCAAAGAGCTGTTTGAGATTGTAAGGGTGAGTGAAATTCCCAGTTCCAGTCCACATGAGGCTGGCGAAATGTTGAGCAGAAGCTTCTGTAGGATGAACAGAATCAAAGAAGACATGTTCATTAACATTGTCGCATAACTCATAATCTTCAATCCCTCTTTTCCCTCCACAGCTATTATCTCCTCTGTATGCCCCACCTCCACAGCAAGCCACATCCCCTTCTTTGAAACCTTCCCAACAACAATTACAAATCATGATCGGTTACAATATTACTGATAAATATTTTATTGTGTACGTCTCAAGTAATTAAATGCAGGCAATAATTCTTTGGCGCATATACCATATTTGGAAGGGTATTTCATTAGTTCAACCAGGGCACTGTAAAAGTCAGTGAGAGAGTATTTGAATCCCTTAAGTTGCTTCTCCAGTTTCTGAAGCATTGTGGGAAGAGCTCTATTGTGTAATCTTGCAATTGCTGAAGCTGCTTCTTCCTGGCACGCATCTAGGCTGCTTCCATTTACAAGCATCCTTGCTATTGGAAAACAGTTAATAGGACCCACATTAGAAAACCCGAATTTTCTTCCACCTTCCTCGTAAATTTCCTGCAATTTTATACATAAAGTTCAGAATTGTTTGATCGATTAACAATTCTAGTAAACATACCTATATATATTGCTGTTGGAATGGAACAGGTTTCAATCTTTTTTCATACTTGGATGACGCTTGATATGTTGCCAATCACAATATCAACAAATCCTTGAGGATTTGGAATAGCATGAGTGCTTGAGTTTGTGAACAAAACGGCACCATAATCATTGCTTCCAGCGTTAATAATATAGACAGATCTTGCTAGAAATGCCTTGGCTCCTCGATCTCCTAGTTTCTTCTTCAATAGCTTACTAACTCGTTTGAAGTAGCTTGCCTGAGTTTGCAGGTCTGTCACCTGAAGTAATTAAGAAAATAACCTTTAAATTATCATGAAGGCTTCTCAATCATAATCCCCTGTTCATTAGAATTTATTGAGACTAATTAATTAACGACATACAGTTCCTTGACGAGTTTCAACCAGGGCTCCAGATCCCGCTGATGCAAAATTAGCCCCAAAGATATAATCAAGGTACGATGCTGGATGAAGATATGGTAGTATCAGCGGTAGCTTGGCATATTCAGCTACATCCACAACAAAATTAAAGTTAGAAAACACTTGACAAAGCTAGACAAGTTTTAAAAGAATGTCTTGAGACGATCGATCTACATATATACCAACGAAATCTGGGATGACCCTTCCATCGGAAAATCTGCCGGTGGGATACCTGAAGAAAGTTCCGCCGTATGGTTCGAAGTTTGCCTGAGCTGAAGTGGTGGTGTTAATGTAGTTATTGTTTCCGACATCAAATAGTGAGTCTCCAAGTATGAATAAGGCTGCTTGCTTCTCCGGGATGCACATTCTGCTTTGGCTGATGGTGATTTGAATAGAAACCATAGCATAAAAGCGCAGGAAATACACGGAAACCCTTAAACTTCCCATGTTCGCACTTGTCTCTTATGTTGCAGTGTCGAAGATTGGATTGCAAATTTCACAATATATAGTCCTTTACAAAGTTTTTCTAACTATATATAATCTCCTGAATTTTGGGTTAGCTTCAAAGAATTTCTTTAACCCTTAAAACTTGACAATTAATCTCTCTAAACTTTTGAATTTATACAAACGGTTGACCTTAATGCTGTCATTTGTCTCACATTTTAAAGTCAAATTATTTTGATTATCCACAAGGTGAGATTATTTTTTCAAATCTAATTATTAATTTATAGACAATTCAAGGAAAAGCACTCACAACCAAAGTGCTTTTAATTAAATAACTTCTTTGATGCCTTTATAAATTGCTTGGATGGTTTGAATAGCAAATTTGAAATGCATTACAATGACTTGGCCAAGAAGTAATAGACTAGAAAGAGGAAAGAGGAATTCAAAATTAGTCTCAGATTATTATTATATTCAGATGTCTTAATTTGTTTGTGTCATTGATGATGAATTTGAGGGAGAATTAAGAATCATACTACCTCTGGTCCTAAATATAAGAGCTACTTGACTAATTTAAACAGATTAAGAAAATAAGTTAAGTTAGTTATTTATAATAAATATGTGTTGTCTTTTATAAAATATTCCTGCTAATTAAGTTAATTAGTTAGAACTACCATTATTAGAAAGATTATATTGAGAAAAAAATAAATAAATATGAGAGATAAAATGAATTAGAGTTTTATATTTAGAACTAAAATAAAAATCAAATAAGATTTTAAATTAAAAACCAGAGGTAGCATAAGCAAACCGCTAGCTGGCCCAAAAAAATTACAGCTAACGGCTCCATTCGCGGGAGCGTTCTTCTGAATTTCTTAATATATTTACCCTCTTTAACACACATTGATTATTGACGACAATGGTGATGATTAAAAAGCACAACATTTTGGGAGTTTCAAGAATAGATGTATAGCACTACAAAGTAAAGTTTATTTGACTTTGGGAAAAGTGTCATTTTAGGACTTGTTAGACTATTAATTCCCTCCATTCCCAATTGCAATTGTACCTTGTCTGAGGTTTTGCACATTCTATGTACTAGTATCTTTTTAAAATTTCAAAACAGTAATCCTTATGACTGGCTAGCTTTAATTTATTGAACACATAATATGTATACGCGAATAAGTTTGCTAATATACTCAATATTTTAATGTATTAATTGCATTGTTTAATCCAATTATGTGCTTAAACTTTAAAAAGGCTTGCACTCTAAAATAGAGGGTGAGTGGTACCCCACATGAACTAAAATTCCATTATTTATTATTTAATCCCCTCTTAGTCGGTAGAAGAAGGAACATAATTATAGGTAGTTGAATGAGGGTATAGTTGGAAAGGAAAAAAATAAATCATGGACTTGAATAATTTTAAAACAACAATAATTTTGAAAAAGATAAAACAAATGAAACAAAAGAAATCTATTTTTAACAAAAGAAATTTTTTAATAATATTGAAAAAAAATTACAAAGAATTCAAAGAACAGTAGTAACTGAATAGTAAGCGAGAACAAAGAAATCAAAATACAAACAAACTGAACAGTGAAAGTAAACAAATCTGTCTTGAAAAACAGAGAATAAAAGCTATCTTCAAGAGACAGGAAAATCATCCCATTTGATCGTGGCTTGTCTCTAGAGTTGAACTTCTGATATGCGTTCTTAATAACGGCTACTTTGCCAGTGTTCTTCTAAGCATTTGAAACAAAAATAATTTTTGGCCACTTATATTTCTGACGTATGTTAGTTAATTAAGGAATACGTGGCTAATATATTGTTAGATGCTTATCCATTTGCATTGCGTAATGGCTTTATTAAAAAAAAAAAAAAGTATTGCGTAATGGCTACCGCTTATCAATTAAAAATAAATGAGAACGGATAAAGTTAATAATCATTACATTACATTGACTCTATGGTTGAGTATGAATTAATTTATTTTAATGATTTTGTATTATACGAGAGCAATTTTAACAAACACTATTATTTTAGGTTAATCGAAATCTTACAATATGAGAGCGTGGGAGTGTGTGTTTCTTTTGGGTTTTCCAATTTTTAGTCTTATAGTTCAAATAAACCATATTTTCATTGAAAACTACAAGTTTCTTCTGTAATTTGCATCGACTAGGTAGAGCTCAGGGTGTCAGTATAAAACTTAAGGAGAGTCATATTATTCACAAAGTATGAATATTGTCATATTTCTTAGTTCTTTCAATTTTTTCCACTCATTTTATTGAGTTTTTTGCAACTTAATTTCTTTCTCTATTTTTTATATTTTAATAAAACTTCAATATTGAATTAATGATTAAAACGTTAGAAAATTAAATTATCATCTTTAGTGTGCTGAACAAAATAGTGTTATGTGAATTGGAGCTTGAAGAATGTAAAGGTTAGCTAGGTGTGAATACACACGCGCACATCTTGATAATGATAGACGAGTCATCAATACCAAACTTGTAGAGGTAGAATTCAGCAAAATCAAACCAAAATTTCTGAGCTGATAGAGCCTGATACTTTTATGTTAAAGTTTGACCAGACATTAAAGAATTTGTCGAAAGCAACTATTATTATTATTATGATGTTGGTGTGGTTTGACTATAATTTAGTATGTATGATAAGAATATGAATAAATATTATTCAATATATTTTTATTTTTCATGCACATTCTTTAAATTATATTAACTTAATTAAAATTAAATATGTCCGATAATAAAACCTTGAATTGATGCCTTGACTTGTTCAATATATAATGTGTGATCTAGTCCTGAAAGCATTGCCAAATACATGTGAGATGAGGCGACTTATTAATTTCCTTTCACATCAGCGCGAAATACACAAGCATAATGAGATAAGGAAAAATCATTATAAATTCTTAAGGAAATAATATAATTACCAAAAAAATTCAATAACAAGTCTCAGTGACAAATCATGATTTCATGACTTCTTAGTAGAACCTATCCGCTTGTTATGAGATTTTTTTTTTTTTGGAATTTCATTTTTTCTTAACATCACATGATGATTTTCCGAGTCAAACACTTGTATCAAACAAGGACAGACTCTCCAAATAATATATATTTCTTATATTTTTTCCTGCTATTCACTAGTATTCTAACCATCGAAGACTTTTTTTAAGAGGTATATCCCAAGTGATAATATATGCATGCCGCAGCGGAATATAAATCAATAACGTCTTTGCCAAGCTATAATAACATATAGACAAGTTTAAGACGCAGATAAATGGATCTTTTGAATAGTAACACTTGCAATATGTATATAGAGAAACAGAAAAGTACAAGGTGTTTCCTATCCTATCGATTGTTGACTCAGGAAAGGTTATTATTAGATTATGTTCCCCTTTACGTACTGTCGGACTGCTTCAATAAGCTAATCGGCGCGATTCAAACTTGAAATTCAAAGAGCTGTTTCACATTGTAAGGCTGAGTGAAATGATTGTCTCCACTCCACATGAGCTCGGCAAAATATTGATTAGCTCTGTCCGTATGATGAACAGAATCAAAATAGACATAATCATTAACATTCTCACATAACTCAAATTCTTCAATCCCTCTTTTCCCTCCACAGCTAAAATCTCCTCTATACGCTCCTCCTCCGCAGCAACCCACCTCCCCTTCTTTGAAACCTTACCAACCACAGTCAAAACAAATCATATGATTAATTGCAAAATCACTGACTACTTGCATAAATATTTTATTGTGTAATTTAATTAGTACAATAATGTTACAAAGTTCTTAGGGCTTACCGTAGTTGGAGGGGAATTTCATGACTTCAATAAGAGCGCCGTAATAGTCAGTGAGAGAGTATTGGAATCCCTCAAGTTGTTTCTCCAACTTCTCAAGCATTTTGGGAAGAGCTGTTCTGTGTAATCTTGCGATTGCTGAACCTTCTTCTTCCAGGCACGCATCTAAGCTGCTTCCATTCATAAATCTCCTTATTATTGGATAGCAATTACTAGGACCCACGTTAAGCAATCCGAATTTTCTTCCGCCGGCTTCGTAAATTTCCTGCAGTTTATAATGCATATATAGAGGCTCAGGATTATATATATATATATATATATATATATTGCAAGAGAAAATAAAAATAACTCTCCTCCATCGTAATATTGAAAGGCAATATATAAGTTTGCAATCTTTCTCATGCCTGGATGACGCTTGATATGTTTCCAATAACGGCATCAACAAATTCTCGAGGGTCTTTAATACCAACGGTACTTGAGTTTGAGAACAGAAAGGATGTATAATCATTGTCTCCAACGGCAATAATGTAGACAGCATTTCCTAGAAATGCCTTGGCTTCTCCAACTCCCAGTTTCTGCTTCAAGTGCTTGCTAACTTGTTTGAAGTAACTTGCTTGAGTTTTCAGGTCGATCACCTAAAAATGAGTAAGAAAATAAAACTATCATGAAGGCTTGCAAATCATAGTCCACGACATATATATGCTTTGCAATAATAATGATATCGACTAATGACATACAAGTCCTTGACGAGTTTCAACCAAAGCTCCAGATCCTGCTGATGCAAAATTGGCCCCCAAGATATAATCATCGAGGTACGATGCTGGATGCAGATATGGTAGCAACAGCGGCACCTTGGCATATTCGGGTGCATCCACAAGATTAAACTCAAAAAGACTTGACAAAACATTAATATGAATATAATTGCAGATACAAAACCAGACGAATTCTAAAATAATGTACTGAGACGATGAGTCAGATATATATATGTACCAATGAAGTCGGGGATGACCCGTCCATCGGAAAATCTGCCAGTGGAATACTTGAAGAAAGTTTCGCCGTATGGATCGAAGTTTGCCTGAGCTAAAATGGTGCTATTGATGTAGTTATTGTTTCCGACATCAAATTGTGAGTCTCCAAATATGAATAAGGCCACTTGCTTTTTCGGAAGGCAGATTTTGCTTTGGCAGCAAGTGATTTGAATAGAAACCATAGCATAAAAAACCATGAAACACATGAAAACCCTTAAACTTCCCATGTTTAATTTGCACAGTCTCGTATGTTGCTGGATCTTAGATTTGGTTGCAGATTTGCCAGCTTAATTATAGGAGGAGAGGTTTTTTTTGCTATTTTCCAATGCGGTGGATGACACACGCCATTAATGACATAAAATAACTAATTCTAGAGTTTTTTTTAGTATAAAATTAAAAGTTTACGCGATTCCTTGTCAAGTGTGCAAATAAAGGTATTATTTTTACACATACTCAAAATTTTGAGAGAAATTTATATCATTTAGCCTTGTTGACCACCTACATGCTTTTTTTTTTTTTTCCTGCGATAACCGGCTATATGTTTCATATATTAAGTAATGAAAGATTACACGTCTCGGCGTATAGAGATACTTATCAATTAGTATTGCGTATACGTTAAAACTTACAAAAAAAAAATGGTAATGTACGTACGAACATGTGTGTGTGTGTGTTAATATTCATTATAAAACGGTATTGACTTTGTGTTTAATATTCCAAAGAGTGTGTGTGTGTGTGTGTGTTTTTTTTTTTTTTTTTTAGTTTTGGGTTCAAATTTTTCAGTCTTAGAATTTAAAGTTTTAAGTAAACTATATTTCCGTTGAAAACCACAAATTCTTAAAAGCCATTCTATATGGTCAGCTTCAATTGCATAGCATTATTGATACACACACACACACAAATATAGAAATAAGCATAATAGGACAAAAAGCATATTCTACGTTCAATAATCATTTTGCCATATAACTGCAATTTATGAAAGATTAATCATAGTTTAAAATGAAATAATTTGTTAGGCCCAATTATTACTTTATTGAAATTTCAAAGAAAATTAAAACACTTGCAATCAAAATACTTTTTAATTGAATAACTTCTTTGCCCGACTTCTCTTCTTTTTGAGGGGTTCTTTTAGTCTTAAAATTGAAATAAGCTATATTTCCATTGAAAACTAAAAATTGCATTGCTTACATTAATATCAACTAGGTAGATCCGTTGCTCCATATCAGCACAAAATACAAAAGTTAAGGAGAGTGTTTAGTTTTATAAATATTTAACACTTTTTTTGGGTGAAACCATTTTGGAGGTACCTAGTTATAATTTTTTTTCAATCTTCAATTTGGCATCTAAGTTTTTTTTCCTTTTAATTAAATATTTAATTTTGCTCTATGAACATCATTAATCATTGCATAGAGACTAAAAGTGCTAATAAAGCAAAGTTACAAGAACTAATGTTGCTAAAAAAAATTAAGAGAAAAAACACATAAGTATCAAATTAAAAATTAAGAAAAAGTATAAGTACCTCCAATATGGTTTTTTTTCTTTTTATTTTTAACATATTTATATATTTCAATACAACCTACAACTTATAACTCACATCTATGTGTATGTATAATTTTAAACTTCATTCATTATTGTATATGTAGGCTGTTATTTTCCTAAAATATGTATATATTAAAAAGAGGTAAAATTATGAAAATTTATTATATACCTATATATAGTATTAAGGAGATTTAAGGACTTTTTTCTCTTGATTTCAAATGACTTCTAAATAAGAATATTTGTATAAACCTGAGTTCACAAAATAAAATGATGATAGATTAATCAATACGGAACTTCTAGAAGTAAAATCAAAGGAAGATTTCTTCCAGCAAATAAAAAATCAAATAAAAGTTTCTGAGCTAATACTTTGATTTTATATTGAAGTATGACTTTTTTCCCACCCATCAAAGTTTGAATTCACAAGGCAGAACTAGTCAAAAACAATTACTAAATATGGTTTGATGGAGAATTCGTGATGAATCTTTTTGTCTCAACTCCTAGGAATATGAGTTGTTAGAACTTAGAAGTTTCTTTTTGTGGGAAAAAAAACTGAGCTCATCCTCAATTGAGTAACTAATACTAATTTTATTAGGTGCACAGAGCACATTAATTTTTTTAGTGGTGTAATTTTACTTATGATCTATTTAACTTGGTGCAATTCTGTATCGAATTCTGTATTTTCCATGAAAAAAAGGTACCCGCACCTTTGGTCATTCAGTTGTAAATCGTGATAAAAAAAATGTGAATCATTCACTGCTATGCACAAAATAATAAACTCTTATCTAGTTACATTATTTCTTACATAAACCAGGTGATAGAACTACATGGAACTGCAGAAATATAACAAAAATTAATTTTCACCTCTCATATCTCACGGAGGAAGATTTTCTAACCTTCATTGATCAAGAAGAACATGATTCTTCACCTCATGATTAATCATAGAAACATAGAAACATAGAACAGCAGAATTCCCCCTCCATTCCAATCATATGTCACAGACATATTTGCGTTTGTTAACAATTATGGTTATTTGAGAACATCTTGCGCAATGCAATACTAATATTTCATTATATGTTTCATGACTTCTATTTATCAAGTTCAATATATTCGTCACATCCAATTATGATTGTCATATACTATTTCTGGTCATTAATATAAGAACTCATTTGATTTTTACTTTTATTTTAATTATAAGACCCTAATCTACTTTGTCTTTCATATTTATCCTTTTTTTTTTCAAAATAGTTCTTATAATACTGATAATTTTAGCTAATATATTTGATTAGCAAGAATATTTTAGAAAATATAATAGTTATTTATTACAAATAACTAATTTAACTAGTTTTTTTTATCTATTCAAATTAGTTAACTAGCTCTTATATTAAGGATTGGAGATACTACATATATCTTTCACACAATGAAAGGAAAAAAATTATCTTAATGATAACTCCAAACCGTGGATCGCATGGAGGTATCACTTTTTCAAATTATTGGCTCGTGACATTAAGCAAATGCCTTTCGGATGCTGACTTTGTGATCTCGCAAACGTAAATTCTACAAGCATGGCCTCCCGTATTGAGTTTAAATTATCAATAAAAGATATATTTAACGAACCAATTTTTTGGCCAAAATAGAGAGTTTAAGGTAAGGCATATTCACCAAATGTTACCATTATTCATAAGTTATTACTGAATATTCCTTACATATAAATTGGATAATATAATTTATTATATTACAATGACTTGGCCAAAAAGAAATGGACAAGAAAGGAGGAATTCAAATTGGTACTAAGACTAATTGTCACGCTGAAATGTCTTAATTTGTTTGTGACTATGTTTGTCATCCATGATCCGTTACGAATTTCAGGGAGAATTTAGAATCGTAAATGCTCAAATTTCGCTCCCATAGTCAGAAACTCAGAGGTATCGTTATTTCTGGCATATTCCTTCTAACCTAAAACATAAGTCATACTGCCGGTGGTCGAGTTTGGTTCTAATTTCAGACTGTTAGAATCTGTGTCTCTATTTTTTTTTAAAAAAAAAGAGTCATATTTATACTTTTTATTACTTTCTCTCTCCGCTTATATAACCTCACACCGTTAGTTCTTAAGTTTACCTAGCTAAATGCATACGTTTGCAATAAGGGGACAAAATTCGGCAGTTTTCAATTTGGCTGGAAAATTAGACCACTTATATATTTTGTAAATACATTGAACTTAGAAAAATTCGCCCCTTCATAATATATATCATCATCATGTCCTCCTTTTCAGATTCCTTATTCAAACCAAACTTAAATTTTTCTGCAAGTTAGTCTACCGTGTGCTGGTACGCACTGTATTGAAGTGATCTTTGTGTGTATAAGCTTCATTGAATATTCAGATTTTACTTTCTCTCTTTCCTATAATACTACCTCCGAAACTTAATATAAGAACTAGTTTGACTTTTAATTTGATCATAAATATAAGACTCCAAATCCACTTTGTTACTATCAATGGGTAATTTAAACACACATAATTAATAAAGATATTTTAAGAAAAATAATATTTATTTACTACTACCTCCGGTTTTAATTATAAGACCTCGTTTGTACACTACAAATGAGGTCTTAAAGTAGGATTGAAAGTAATAAAAATGATTAATTTAACTAACTTTCTTAATTTTCTTAAATCAGTCAGCTAGATTTTATACTTATGATCGAAGGTAGTATATTATTGAATAGTAGTAACTATAATTTAGAAAAACATCACAAAAGTACACTTAGTCTCCAAATTATTGTCAAAATTCTGCAGCGCGCAATATTATGATTGACCCAGCCGAGTTTATTATATTCTTCCCTATTCCCTTTTGCTGGTGACAGCTACCAAGAAAAAAAAAATCGGCTGCAGGGGGCACATCATAAATAATCCTTTTCATAATAACATAATATAATATATATTATAACATTATTCTTAATTGTTATTTAATTTCCGTCTAATTCAGCGAGGAAAATATCTTGCGAGATTTCACAAGGGGACTTGAATATGTAAGGATGAAGCACAAGTAATCTTGTTTATTTATTTGATCAAAATGATAACAGCTTGGAATTACAAATCCATAATATCTCGTGCGCATGTGATGAGAGAAGGACTATCTTCACAACAACTTCTTCCTATTGAAATTCAAACATGAAATTCGAAGAGTTGTTTCAGATTGTAAGGGTGAGTGAAATTTCCAGTTCCAGTCCACATGAGGTTGGCAAAATGTTGAGCAGCAGTTTCTGTTGGATGAATAGAATCGAAGAAGACATGTTCGTTGACATTCTCACACAACTCATAATCTTCAATCCCTCTTTTGCCTCCACAGCTGTAATCTCCTCTGTATGGCCCACCTCCACAGCAGGCCACTTCTCCTTCTTCGAAACCTTGTGAGAGAAAAAAATTACATGAGGTTATGATTAATTATAAAATTAATTACTAATGGAAAAAGAGGGCTGGATTCTTAGATAAGGATCATTATATTAATGTTGCGTGAAGAAGAGGAACCAGTTTCAGTACTCATCATTTTAATAAGCATTTTAAATTTATCATATCTGAATTGTCTATATATAATTTGAACAGTTCAGATTCAAAATCTTTAATTAATTATTTTTAAATAAAAAACTATTTTTTGAAAGAATGATAATTAAGAGATTATCTTTATTTTAGATTCTATACATATTTAAATAATTATTTTAAATAAAAAAAGCTAAATTTGGACTATCTTAATAAGATATAGACGATCCAGATCTAATGAGCTTAGGGTGCTCATCAAAACTATGAGCACCGAAACTGGTTTTCATGAAGAAAAGACTTAATGAAGTTATGATGAATTGTCAAACTTTTTTTTCGAAATTGAATTAATGTCTTTTATTGTGCTAGGTGAGCGTTATATAACTTTTTTAGGGCATACCATATTTGGAAGGATCTTCCATTACTTCAATGAGAGCATTGTAATAGTCAGTAAGGGAGTACTTGAATCCCTCAAGCTGTTTCTCGAGATTCTGAAGCATTATGGGAAGATCTCTTCTGTGTAATCTTGCAAGTGCTGAAGCTCCTTCTTCCTGGCATGCATCTAAACTGCTTCCATTTTTAAGCATCCTAAGTATTGGAAAACAACTCAAAGGCCCCACATTAAATAATCCGAATTTTCTCCCACCTTCGTCATAAATCTCCTGCAATATTGATATATGAAGCCCAGAGTTGCTAGAGGGAAAAACAATTCCCGAAAATATGTAGCATTTGAAAGGGAATATATAAAGTTCAAATCTTGTGCTTATATACCCTGATGACGCTTGATATGTTGCCAATCACAAAATCAACAAATTGTTGTTGAGGATAAGGAAGAATGACAGAACTTGAGTTCGCCAAGAAAGGACTTCCATAATCATTGCCTCCAACGTCAAAGATGTAGACAGATCTCGCAAGTAATGCCTTGGCTTCTTCATCTCCCAGTTTCTGTCTCAATTTCTGGCTCACTTGTTTGAAGTAGCTTGCTTGAGTTTTCAGGTTTATCACCTAATTAAAAGTGAGTCAGAAAAATAATGATTAAATTATATCATGAAGGCTTTCGGATCATTAATTTCTTCGTCCACTGTACACTGTCATAATCACATACAGCTCCTAGACCAGTTTCAACCAGAGCTCCAGCTCCTGCTGATGCGAAATTTGCCCCATAGACATAGTAATCCTCGAACGTTGCTGGGTGCAGATATGGTAGTAACAGTGGTAACTTGGCATATTCAGCTGCATCCACGACAAAGTTAAACTCAAAAAGCTTGACACAACATTAATATGAATATGTTTGCGTACAGCCAGATCCTTTCTACGGAATACACACACACACGCATATATATATTAATTATGAGGTGATCAATCATATATATCTACCAATGAAATCTGGGATGACCCGTCCATCGGAAAATCTTCCGGTGGGATACTTGAAGAAAGTTTCGCCGTACGGATCGAAGTTTGCCTGAAGAAAAGTGGTGGTATTGATGTAGTTGTTGTTTCCGAAATCAAATAGTGAGTCTCCAAATATGAACAAGGCTGCTTGCTTCTCCGGAAGGCAGATTTTGCTTTGGCAGTGAGTCATTTGAACAAAAACGATAACATCAAAAAACATGAAATACATGAGAACCCTCAAACTTCCCATGTTTGTCTCGTATGTTGATGTGTTAAGACTTGTTACAAACTTCGCCATATATATAGGTTTTCTCAATCAATCCTAAATAGAGGACAGAAAAATCCATAAGTGATTTAGTTATCTTCGACTTCGTGAACTTCAGTTAGAGTTATTATTTAACACAATCTAGTCATTAATATAAGAACTAGATAACTAATTCAAAAATATTAAAAAATTAGTTAAGTTTATTATTATTTGTAACAAATGTATCTTGACTTTTCTAAACTATCTTATTTAATCATGTGTATTAGAATTATCTCTTAATAGGAACCCCTTACAATATATTTTGAAGAAAAGTTATAAATTTGATAAACAAAATGGATTGAGGTCTTATATTTATGATCATATCTAACTCCAACTAGTTCTTATATTAATAACCGTATATATAATGCATGTGTTAAGGACTGGATGGCATTATTCTGGTTAATATAATTTTTTTCTATGGTTAATATATCAATTAAAATATAGGACAGCATATTAATTCGTATTGCGTACACGTTTCCCCTTATGAAAATAATAATAATAATAAGTGGTAACGTGTAATGTTAGGATCCATTATCAATTTGCATTGCATCCATACGTGCGTGTTTGTTCCAATTAATTTTGTCTCTAAATACAAATAAATAAGATGGATTGGTTGTCATCAGATTTTAAAATTTTTAATTTAATAATGGTTGGGCCGCTGAAATGTAAATCAAACATTTAATTCTTATAGATGATTTCCAATGATTTGCAACAGTGCCTCACATATTTGAAACTATTTAAATCAATATTTGAAACTGAATTTTAATAAAAAAATTTTATGACCTAATTGTGCATCACTAAATTGAACTCTTGCGACCTAATCACGATTTTCCTAATAAACTATCAGCCTGTTTAGTACGGTGTTTTGAAAGGAAAAAAATAACTTATAGGTGTAATAATTTAATTTGTAAATTTTGGAGCTGTTTGCATAGCTTTTAATTAATTTGACTTATGAGTCAAAAGTTACATTGTTAAACACCATTGTACAAACATATAAAACTTACTTATGACTTATGCAAAAGTAGTTTTTTGAAATTAAAAGATATTTTTGCCCTAATATTTATGTTGTTCTTATACTTCTTTCTATATATTCTCTGTGCTTCCCAATTAGTTTTTAATTTTTTATTTTTAATATTCACTTAAATAAAAATCATTTTTAACAATTTTTATAGTATTTTTAATTTTTAATATTATTTTTTATTTTATATCTACATAAATTATGGAGAGTATATTATTCAATTAATTATATAATATTATTTGGTTCAAAATTCTCCACATTACAATGATTTCTAATTTAAATATATTTTATTCATTAAATATAATTTTTTCTATTATAATAATTTTAAATTATTATATTTTGTAAATTCATATTTTTTATTATTTTTCATTATTTAATAAAAGTCTTATCTTTTTTGATCATTTTACAAACTAAACTTACTAATTCAATCATAATCAAAATAACTTTTTATTTTATAAACTAACTTTTATAAAAGTCAATCCAAACACAAATTACATTACACAATCTAAATTTTACTCAATTTTACTTTTCTAAAAATCAAATTGAAAAATAAGTTACTTGTTCTACCGTATATTCAAACATTATATCTCCAGTGAAAATAAGAAATTCTCGTCTTATATCAATTGAGTAAATCATATACTTATATATGAAATATAAAATCAAAAAAATTATAAAAATCGCAAATTATCATTATTGCAGTTTTTTAACTTTTCTACACGTTTAATTAGACTCATCAATGCAAGTTTCTGTTTATTTTAATTTTTTTACATATTTAAATAAATTTGAAATTAACAAAATTGTACAATCTTTTAAATAAATTTTGCATCATCATGATCTCTTTCTAGCATCACAAGGAAAAAATATATAACTGCAAATTGGAATCTAGGTCATTATATTATATGTATATATTTGACAAAAGAACCAAACTTTTGAATTCAACCATATGAAATAAAAATTTAGAAGAATTACTATACGGTCATAAGAAAATAAAATAATTATCAAAACATTCAAATGACAAGTAAGGATTTATTAATTTCTATATTGAAACTCGTCATTATATGTTATTTATATTATTACTGAGACTTTTTATTAATTATATTCCTTCCTTAATATTTCATAACAATTATCCTCGAAAGTTTCACAGTCGAAGCTTTTTTTTTAATGACATTTGACTTTGGATCGTTTTGACATTAAAGAACAAGTTAATCAAGGGCCGAATGCGCATCCAGGATGTCTCTCACTCATGAGAGATGATATTTCCCAGCAACCCACGATTTGAGTTTCTCTGAAATCCGCCTCACAAGTTGTCTTAACTTGCCCTTTGTATTCAAAAAAAAAAAAAAGGGGCGATCAACAAAGCGAGGCAAGTGTAAAATTAGACGATTTAGATATTATTTCATTTTTACGATATTTTTATAATTTTTAATACTATTTTAAAATAGTTTTAGAATTCATGTGCCCTAGGATTTCTCTCCAGCCTCTTTTCGACTTTCTGTCCTGTATGCAAATTTAAAATATGTATTACATCGACTTCCTTTAAAAACTGTTAATTAAACTAGAATATAATAAACCCCTTCTTTTATATATATGAGAGTTTAAAATTCAGAAATATCGATAAACCCCTTCAACAAAATCTATCCAAACTTTTCTAAATCAAATAAAAGACCTCTACTCCTCCATTTCTTTCAAATATGAGATCGGATAAGTAACAGGTCTAACGTTCCAAGATTATATGTAAAATTGAGCATGCAACCTCCAACTTATTAAAAAAAAAAATTCTCATCTTAATTACTATACTACAAACTATTATTTTTTGAAAAAAAAATTAAAATGATAATATATTAAAAATGAAAGAGTTGCAAATCAAACTTAATAAAAAAGACGAGAATTAGAGAGTTCAAACATAAAAAGAACAATTTAATGCACAAGGCATCTCGTGCTCATGTAGATCAGAGTCTGAGAAAAGGCCGGATCTCGTAATAAGATCTAATGTTTCAATGATCAAAATGGGAGAGATTATATAAGAACAAAGATCACTTGAATGATACAACTCTCAGACATTTAAGAACGTAGAATACAAACTAATTGGCCTATTAGTTAAGCAGCAAAGCGAGATGAGTAGTAAATCATCATATTGCGGGGTTGTCAAAAACAACGTGGTAGTTCCATGAACGGCAAAATTGTGGCTGCCTATGAGAGCTGATTCTCTATTTCTCACAAGAGCAGCAGTGGCGTGTGGGCATGTGATGGCATGCTCTCCTCTCTTGGATTATGCGAACCGCCGAACGGCGCAGATTGAATTGGGCATGGCCCCATCATGAGGTGGGGAATCCTAATGCGCTTAATAGGAAAATTATAGATAATTCCCAATTAAAAAAATTAATTACTACTAGTACAAGTAAATTTCTTAAATCGGACTTATTATTAGTAGGCCTTGTAGAGAATTTGTGTAAAAAAATTAGATAAGTTATAATTTTTTAAGTTTGACTCGGAAATGTTGTTGCATAATATGGGGGAAAAAAATTAATTGCACAAATTGTTTCAGGGATCTATTAGCAATTAATTTGCTTATTTGGGATGTGTGTCTCTGTGTGTAATATTTTCTTTTTAGGATGAGAAACCTTTTGATTTCTTAAAGCTTGCATGAATTATCGATTTAATCCTGAAGTACTAGTATAATTTTTATCGATCAAGTTCCTGAGTTTCATAACCACATACAATTAGTCCTTGTGAAAAAGAAGTATGACTCCAGTGATAATAAATGAAAATATAAAATTGCGCGTGAAACTGTATAAGCGTCATTAATAAAAATTAAATTTTAAGAGCCAAAATTAATAGGTTAACTTAAAAAAGCCAAAAGTTTCATTATCCCATTCTCTTAATTGATGTGATTGATACATGAATGTGAGAAGCGTGGTCACTGTACAGGATTCACAGGATCGGCGGTCATCATTTTCAATTTTGGAGTGCGTCCGCGTGGTCCACTTCCTGTTTATTTATATTATTAATCATAATTATTAATTACCATCTTCAACGTTTTGAATTCAGACGGCATTTATACAGTTTCACATTAAATAATACTCCCTCCTCAATTTATTTAATTTTGCTTGGAGCAATTTCATAATACAAGATATTTTGAAAAAACAACAATTCTTTAATGATACTATTTCAAAAACCTTTCATCAATTAACTGTGAATTAATTAGGATTTAGTGTTAAAGAAAGAGTAATTTTAATAGTTTATACTTCTATTTTACAATATAAGAATCTAACTAGAAGAACAGTTTAAGAAACATTAAATGAGAGCATACGCGTGTAAATTAATAAACTCATGATGCAAAGAAGACGCTGGATAGTCAGAGACGAATGGACGATTCAATTAATCATAATGAAGGATTTTCTCACTTTTTTTTTGCTTGTATATAGAGAAGACCGAACAGAGGAAATCATGACTAGCGAATGTGATATATATAGGCCCTACAAAATTTGTCCCATATATATGCTTCGGATATATACGTGTGTATAACTTAAATGAACGCGACTCCATTGAATGTATCTGCTTATATATGTACACACACGCATACAACCCTCAGTCTTTAATATAAGAGCTAGTTTCACATTCAATTGGATTCTAAATATAACAACGCAATTCACTTTGTCTATCGTATTTATACTTTTTTTTAAAGTAATCATTGTAATAGTTGTACATGTTAAATGTTTCATCAAAATGTAGCTTTAGCTAATATATACTAGCTAGGGTAATCTAAAACAAATCAATACCTAATTATTATAAATAACTAATTTAATAAATTTTCTTAATCTACCTAAATTTATCAACTTGCTCTTATAGTAGTATTTTATAGACACGTACATCTGGCGGTGTTTAGTGATAAATTTTGGGAGAATTAAAATTAAATCCTAAAGAAGATAAATAATTATTAAAAAGTTTTAGTAACAACCTAAGCATGACAAGTTCTAGAATGAAGAATAACAACATTTGAGAATTGTTGTGATTTTTTTTTCCCTTCTTGGGACCTCATTGTAATCTCCCATATATTTTTCTTTCATTAAGCTGAATAGTTTTGGTATTTAAATTATATTATTGAAATGATTTAATTGACAAATTTTTTTGCCTAAAAAACATTGCATTCTGGCACTTTAATAGGAACAATTATTGTACAATTAAATGACAACAAATCATGATATATTATTGATCACATTCAAGGGACATACTTATATGGGACTGCACAATGTAATATACCATCAAATCAAACAACCCTATGTATATATATCGTTGATACTGGAAAGTAAATCTTGTTAAAAATTACTGCTAATTAAGAAAAAAAATTAAATATTACAACGCAGCTTGGAAACATTAACTAAATATCAAGAACAAAAATACACTAAGTTAGCGTAATTCAAAGAGTTGTTTGAGATTGTAAGGGTGAGTGAAATCATTATTTCCAGCCCACATGAGGTTGGCGAAATGTTGAGCTGCAGCTTCTGAAGGATGAATGGAATCAAAATAAACATAATCATTCACATTCTCACATAACTCATATTCTTCAATTCCTCTTTTGCCCCCACAGCTATAATCTCCTCTGTATGTGCCTCCTCCGCAGCAAGCCACCTCTCCTTCTTTGAAACCTGTTCTCAATACCAATCACAAATATCGTTACCACCACAGAATTAAAAATGTCCATTCGAAAGATTAAGAGTAGTCTTGTAATGTCCCCTCTAATAATAGCCACATAAATAATATTTTATTTTGTCAAGTAATTATTAAGTGCATGTAATGATGTTTTAGGGCATACCATATCTGGAAGGGTACTTCATTACTTCAACAAGGGCACCGTAGAAGTCAGTGAGAGAGTATTTGAATCCCTCAAGCTGTTTCTCCAGTTTCTGAAGCATTGTGGGGAGAACTTTTCTGTGTAATCTTGCAATTCCTGAAGCTTCTTCTTCTTGGCAGGCATCTAAGCTGCTTCCGTTTTTCATCATCCTGAATATTGGGAAACAATTCATAGGACCCACATTAAGCAATCCGAATTTCCTTCCACCTTCTTTGTAAATTTCCTGCAAATTATAATACATGATGAGGCTCATCATGACTGCTACATATACGAAAAACAATTCACATACCTAAGTATATACTACCTCCGGTTTTTAATATACATATTCAATCCAGTCCTAAATATGAAATCTCAATCCATTTTGCCTTTTACATATTTATCCATTTTGTATCTAAGTAGTCCTTATGGGATTATCCATTTTAGGAAGTTTCCATTAAAGGTAGTTCTAGTGCACATAATTAATAAAAATATTTTGAGAAAAACAATATCTATTTATTATAAATAATTAATTTACCTCATTTTTTTAATATTTGTAAATTAGTTATCTAACTCTTGTATTAAGTAGGGGAGGTAGTATATAGCACTTGAAAAGGCGACAATAAGTTGGATTAAGCATTTGCATACATGTATGGCGCTTGATATGTTGCCGATCACGACATCCACAAATTGTGCTTGAGGATAAGGAAGAACGACAGTGCTGGAGGTCGTCAAGAAGGGGGCAGAATAGTCATTTCCTCCTATGCTAAAAATATAAACGGCGTTGGATAACAATGCCTTGGCTTCTGCATCTCCCAGTTTCTGCTCCAACAGCTTGCCAACTTGTTTGAAGTGACTCACTTGTGTTTTCAGGTCTATCGCCTAAAAAGTAATAAAACCAGTGAGAAAATAATGTTCATATAGTACAATTTTTGTTAACCTTAAACTCTCAATGATATAGAGCTTTCCATATATATGATCATATTGGACAAAAGAAACTTACTGTTCCTTGGCGAGTTTCAACAAGAGCTCCGGCTCCGGCAGATGCAAAATTCGCCCCATAAATATAATCGTCACCATCGTTTGATGCCGTACGCAGATATGGCGGCAACAGAGGCAAGTTGGCATATTTAGCAATGAAATCTGGGAGGACGAGGCCATCGGAAAATCTTCCGGTGGCATATTTGAAGAAAGTAGTGTGGCCATAAGGAGCACAGTTGGCCTGAAGAAAAGGTATAGTTTTGATGAAGTTGTTGTTTCCGACCTCAAACAGTGAGTCTCCAAATACGAACAAGGCTGCTGGTTGGTTCTCCGGCAGGCAGATTTTGTTTCCAATAACAATATTGATCATCACACACAAAATCATCAGCTTCCTAGTTAAACTTGCCATAGCCGTAGCCATGCTAATTCTCCGATTCACTTATTTTCTAATGTTGCTAGCTTTGTCACACAGATTTCTGGCTCCCAATAAAACTCTCTCCCTCTGTGTGTGTGTGTGTTTTTTTTTTGGGGGGGGGGGGGAGTAATAGGCCTTTGTAGTTTGTAAGCAAAAGGAAAGGCCGGCATGTTGTCGTTTTGCCTATAGAGAATGAAAAATCTGAGTCAGATGGCAGAATGAGTGAGTGGTCAACTGTCGTATTGCGGTTCAGACGCGGACCCTCGCCGATTATGTGATGTTGGAATGTAAACGACACAGTACTTTGGACTACTGAACACATCAATAACGACAAGAATCACGTGGCCGCCAACTCTGATATCGTCGCCACCCGTGATGATTATGGATACAAAACCAAAACCAGCATGTTGTGTTGATGCCCACATAACCACATATATACTTGGAGTGTTAAATTTCAAAAAAAAAATGTAAAAAAATAAAACTGAATTTTTTTGTCTATAAGATATCAAAATTTTACTCATTTTATGTGAAATTTAATGATATAAAGACAAAAAAAAATTTGGAAAGAGCCCCGAAAAACGACCACTTGTGACCATCTTCTTTTGACTTAATAATATGAAAGCTCGAGGTTGTGAATTTGATCCACTTGTTAGAGTGCTAATACCGACTCATCTAATTCAAAAGGAAAAAGAAAAGCACCATGTGGGGTGGGAGAAAAAGCAAATTCATCAAGGTGGGCGGTGTGGCATGGTCTTCTCTCTAGGATGATAGATGTGGACGGTGCAGATTGAAGGAACAGGACCCTGTCCTGGTTTGGTGAGATATTTAAATGCATCACGCAGATAAAGTAGGTTTAGTGATAAATTTCGTGGTGATTCTAAATTTGTACAGCGACCACAGTGCATATATGGATATTCAATTATTGAGATTGATTAAGGTCGGCACTTGTATAGGTTGACCCTTGAGCTACAATTAAATGAGAAGTATTTAAACAGTTATTCCTCTAATTTTATTTATAAGTCACTTTCAACATGTTTCATATAAATTAAAAATTTGTTTCTCGGCCCTTCAAATAAGACTAGAGGAATATGGGAGAAACGCACTGCCTGCAACATACGAGACGAACCTGAATGCTAATTAACCGCACATCTTTAATTACTGAAGTACATTCAAAGTGATGTTACTTATTTAATGTATGAATGTAACATACTAATTAACATACAAAAGATGGATCAACGTCCTTCTGTTGCGTATATGTATGTGAAAGGATTTTTAATATTCAAAGAGTTGTTTGAGATTGTAAGGGTGAGTGAAATTTCCAGTTCCAGCCCACATGAGATTGGCAAAATGTTGAGCAGAAGCTTCTGTAGGATGAACAGAATCAAAATAAACATAATCATTCACATTCTCACATAACTCATATTCTTCAATCCCTCTTTTCCCTCCACAGCTATAATCTCCTCTGTAAGGTCCTCCTCCACAGCAAGCGACCTCCCCTTCTTGGAAACCTTCCCAGCAACAATAAATTAAATCAGTAATAATAATCCTTTAATGGAATTACTTACGTACAATTGTCTTCATTTCAGTTAAAACAAAAAAAAATCTTAATTATACTCCCTCACTCCGGTCCCCAGATCGGATTTGATCATAAAACTAATTTACCTAACTTATAGACTAATATACAAGTTAATGTTATGTGGGGGTATTTTAAAGAGATCATGTCATATTTGTTATGATTAACTAATTTATTCAAATTTTTTAATTTACTTAAATTAGTTAAGTAACATACCATAATTTGAAGGGTATTTCATTAGTTGAAGAAGGGCATTGTAGAAGTCAAAGACGGTGTATTTGATCTCAGTGAGTTGTTCCTGCAGTTTCTGAAGCTTCTGTGGAAGAACATGATTGTGAAGTCTTGCGAGTAAAGCAGCTTCTTCTTCCTGACAACTACTTATACTGCTTCCGTTTCTTCTCAGCAATGGAAAACAACTGAATGGAGCGGCATTCATTAACGCGAATTTTCTCCCACCTTCCTTGTATATTTTCTGCAGTTTCATCATCAGAATTATCATCCAACCAGAAATTATTATCAAAACGACGACAAGTTAATACACACACACACACACACATATAAGCATGCATGCGTACTTGGATGGCGATTGTTATGTTTCCAGTGACAACATCGACCATCTCTTGGGGAGGGTATGGGAGGACGACAGTGGAATTTGTGGGGGAGACAGGAGTAACATAGTCATTGCCGACCAAGCTGAATATGAAGACAGCTCTAGAAATCAGTGACTTGGCTTTTCCTTCGCCCAGTTTGTTCTTCAATTGCTGGCTCACTTTTATGAAATTACTTGCTTGAGTTCCCAAGTCTATCACCTAATAAACAACAATAATTAGCACGATTTCAATTCCACGTACAAAATTGCACGCTAATCCCCCAGTATTATAATATAATTAGACTTCTGGCTTGAACGAAGAATATCACAGGGGGGAAAAAACCCTGTGTATTATTCAATATTCATCTTGAGATCGATGCAGTACGTAAGGCTCACTCAAATTAACTTAATTAAGAAAAACAAACACAAAAATTGATACCAAAGCAAGTCATATATTTATTCTAATCCTAAATGTAGGGCATTTTATTTAACTATAATAAAACCAATGAATGTTGAAACTCATTGAAAATGTCCAGACATTAAAGGAAATTTCCAACTTCACCCCCACATTAAATTTCTGTGGCCCTTGGTAAACGAAGGAGTATAAAATGGGAAAAACTTCATAATCTAACATTTGATGATTATTTATAAAATGGGCCAGCAAATTCTTTTGGAAGACACCTAATAAAATGGACCAACAAATTCTTTACATTTAACCAATATTAACAAATTCCCCTGTTAATGTTAGGAAATTAAAGTAGCTTATAAGGATTTATAAGCCATATAATGAGATATAAACCAGCTGACAAAATAACACCACATGGAACGTTCAAACATAATTTCAAATGTTAATTAAACACGCATGTAGGTAACATCAATACTGGTAGAAATATTACCTCTGATTCTAAATATAAATCATAATTACCGTACCTAACATACATGTTAAGAAAGTCTAAATTTATTTCTCGTCATGAATTGAATATTTTTTTTCAAACTTGCATAGAGTACCATGTACCTCACCAATTTAATTCGATCCAATACGAGTAATCAAAAACATTTGTGGAAAATAAGTATTTTATGATATAGAGGTAACTTCAATTTTGAGCCCCTAATGCTCTTTTTCTTAAAAAAAATGGTGACTAATATTTGAAACTGGAGATTATATATATATATATATATATATATCAGTCAGAGGTATTATATTAACATACTGTTCCTTGACTTGTTTCAGCTAGGGCTCCAGCTCCTGATGATGCAAAATTTACTCCATAAATGTAGTGATCATCGTAAATTCCAGGATACAGATAAGGTGGCAATAATGGCAACTTGGCAAATTCAGCTACATGAAACGAAACATAAACTAATTCAGCTAGCTTCCAATAAAATAATGAAACAAAATCATCAAGCTTCGCAAATTCATGTACTAAGACAAAGTTAAGAATATTAACTATCATTCCTTCCCTAAGATTTGGGAAGATAATTAACTTTATCCTGCAATAATTAGAACCTAAAACCGGATAGAATATTATATAGTACACTGCTATACCAATGAAATCTGGGATTATGCGTCCATCGGAGAATCTTCCGGTGGGAAACTTGAAGAAGGTTTGGCCGTATGGTTGGTAGTTAGATAGAAGATGAACGATGGTGTTGATGTAATTGTTGTTTCCAGAATCAAAGATAGAGTCTCCAAATACGAACACAGCTGAATTACTTGCCAGCAAGCATATGGTACTGACATTAGCAATGCTCTGGCCACTAGTGATTTTAAGGAAAACGATCGCAGAGAAACACAATATTAATAATGCTCTCGAACTTGCCATAGCTAGTTTCGGAACTACTAATAAACTTCCATCATTACAAATATGGAGGAACCCTATTTATAAGCATTCATTGTTAATAAACAGAATTTATCATTGTCAATTATTGAGGCTGCCGGCCGGCCGTTCCTTACTGGTTACTATTACAGGGCGCCAACACCGCCGCGTATTGGTTTTGTGAAATTGGGTTAATGTTTAACTTCCGAACACGGCGACAGGTTTAACTTCCTTATGGTTAGGTTTTAAAAATTGCTTAAATGGCGCTATGATGAGATTTGAATATATAGTCCTCTGATCCTAAATATAAGACCCCTTTCGTAGTGTAATTTACACTACGAAAGGGGTTTTATATTTAGGACCAGAGGAGTATTTGATAAGAGATTAATTGTAATCTCATTTGGACTTAGATGGAGCGAGAGAAAGAGGAAAGAGGTGGTGTAACTTCAAAGTTCAAAGCAAGCCGCCCATGAGAAAAAGTTTCTTGGGTAAAGTTTGAAATTCTTCTAATTTTAATACAAAATCAATAAGTTAATCGTCTTTTCTTGTTTCGGATGGTTGAAACTTGAAAGTGACTGACATACAAAATTGCAAGGAGTACTCTCCCTGGTTTTTAAGAGGTTATGTTTAATTACTTCAGAGGGGGATTAATTAATTATATTTGAAATTGAATTGTTTTATCTCAAATGACCTTATTAATAATAATAGTCATTTATTGGCATGTTGCAACATCTCCGATCTTTTAATTCTGAATGAACACGTACATTTGAAAACAATCATTAATTGTATTTAAAATCAAGTAGTTTTTGTTTATAGCTAGTCAAGTAAAGGAAAAAAAAAAAGTCTTTACTTATGATTATAATTAACTTCAACATCGGAGGAAGCATTCCATAAGGATATACTAGCTAGAGACATTTTTAAGTACAGCGCTTAGTTGGTTCTTCTGGCCGGGTCAGAGACGTTCATGTGTGCCAAGTTACTCCTCTGATTCTAAATATAAGACCACTTTTGTAGTGTAATTTACACTACAAAAGTGGTCTTATATTTAAGACCGAAAGAGTATTTTGTATAAAATTTTGGGATTATACGTAAGTACGGAATCAAAGGGAATTGAATATTAACCAATTAAATTAATAGAATGGTCGGTTGGTTTTTGAGGAACTCAAACGCAATAGTTTGACCAAATTAATGGAATATTAAATTCAATTAGATAAATATATCCGTTATGTGTGATCTTTCAGTTTTAGCTGACATTCCTTTCTATGTTAAACATATTTACATTAGTTTAAGGTTTTGACACAATCAATACGAAACTGTGTAAAAAAGAATCGTAAGTATCGTAACGATATATTTTGAAACAACTAGGTTTTTCTTCTTCTTTTTATAAGCTAAATGTTTAGGTGAGGTAGATCACAAAGGTTGCCAAATTACAGCATGCTTCCAGACTTAAAAAATATTTACAGAGTACTAATAGATAGCCCATTAACAAAGCACTCACATTAATAATTGGATTTAAACTATGGCCTTATATGTTATGAAGAGTAACTCCTTACCAACCATATCAACCTTTAACTGGGCTTTATTTACTTGGACTGCATGAGTCAAATTGCCAGACACCATGGAGACAAACTTCTCTCAATTATAAGGATGAAAAGGGGACTTCAGTTTTCTAACACACGGACCGAGTAGTCACTGAATCTTATGTTAAATAAGTATATGGCATCGGACAACAAGTTTTTTCGTTTTCAGAATCTCCATGTTTCTTCCTCGGTGATTTGTTGACCTTTTCCAAGTTTTCTAATTGAGTATTCAGATCTAGGACCAGAAAATCAAACATCAAGTTACTATGATTAATTAGCCTCGTCATCAGTTAGAAATGCAAGATCCAACGAAAGTCTTAGACCGACAGAGACACGGGATCAGACAGAGTTATAGTCCATGATCTCTCAGAATCAGAAACATATTACATGTGTTTTTAATGGGATGAGCAGAGAAAACATGCGTATCCTATATGAATTTAAGCAAGAGCGCCCGATCTTCCTGATGCGAAATTCACCCCAACGCTAGGGTGCCTAAAGTTCTGGCATAAGGAAGAGTATTGATGCGGTTATTTCCAAATACGAATAAAGCTGCATGCTTTCTTGGCACCCACATTTATCAGAAGCAGAGCATCCCCTTCTCACAAATACCAACCCTGCTTCTATCTTTCCTCATCTTCATCGATCTATCAACCTCCGTATGAAACTCCCTTTGAAAATGTTCTCTCTCTCCCCCCCCCCCCCCACCACACTGGCTTTAGGACGCTTAGGTTGATAGTATGAATACATGCATATGTAACGAACAACCAGATAGCTAATTGCAGGGCATTTAGTAAATGATACTTCCTTCACGTCTGGCAACATTTTTGTTTTGTGTGTTTAGAGTTCAGACTAGTTTTATTATAGCAGCTGCAGAAAAGACTAGAACGCAACGGTAACAATAGTTTCCATGTTAATACATGATATTTCTATAAGGAAGATAAGTAAAAGTAGATCATGATGTCTGCTTAAAATATTCACTATGAAACATCAGATTTGGAAAGCAAAAAGATAATAATCTCAGACTCTAGACTAATATTCATGTATATTCAGTGTCAGTGTACATGAATTTTAGGCCTTAAAAAGTGATTTCAGATTGTAAGGTGCAGCAACATGGGGATGTCCAATCCACATTTGCTGTGCAAAAAATTGATTGGCCCTATCAGTGGGATGAACAGAGTCAAAGAACACATATTCACTTGAATTTCTACACAGCTCGTAACTTGTCCTTCCCAGAATTCCTCCACAGGCTAACATTCCCCTATAAGGACCACTACCACAGCATGCCACACCACCTTCTTTGAAACCTGTTCAAAGTATTAACACAATACTTAGAACAAACTAAACCTTCAATTCAGATTAAATAAAATAATTCACCAGAATCATGCATTTACTTACCATATTGAATGGGGTTATTAATTAGGTCAGTAAGTGAATCATAGAAATTAGCAAGTGAATATTTGAATCCTTTAAGCTGTTTCTGTAGCTTCCGCAGAATCCAAGAAAGTGCTTTGTTATGAAGTTTTGCCAGTACAGAAGCTTCATTTTCATGGCAGCAACATGTCCCATCCGCAAGCATCTTCATCTGTGGAACACATCCTATAGGGCCCAAGCCAAGAAACCCATATTTCCTCCCTCCTTCATTGTGAATTTCCTTCATATTAAAAGATATGATTTCAGATAATAAAAACAATTGTGAACGTGAATTGATACTGTAGTGCTAGTCACATACTTCAATAACAGTTGTCAGATTGCCCATCACCAAGTCAACATATTGGTCTCGAGAGTATGATGAAAAGGCACTGGAATTCACAACCACACGTTCTACATAATCATTGCTTCCAATGCTGATCAAGTAAACAGCTTTGGATATCAAGCCTTTGGCTTTTTCTTCTCCTATTCTCTTCCTCAATAGCTTGGTGAAGTTCTTGAAATAATCAAGCTGAGTTTTAAGGTCTATCACCTGGGAAAATATCAAATTGGGTACATCAATCTCCCAAATATTTCAAGATAAGAAGAAAAAAACAGCATCCAATATTCAGTATAAAGACATGTTTAGATGATAAAATATGTGAGAAATACCTGTCCTTGACCAGTTTCACAGAGAGCTCCAGATCCACCAGAAGCAAAATTGGCCCCATCAAGCCATTGTCGATAAGCAGGGTGCAAATAAGGAAGAGCCAGTGGCAGATTCGCATACTCAGCTGCGGAAAATTTTTGTTTTTAAAAAGAAGGGTATGATCTAGAACTCAAATTCAGACAACCCAGAGCCAGGGGAAAAAAAAAAAGAAAAGAAAGTTACCAACAAAATCAACAATGGTTCGTCCATCAGTATATCTGCCACTGGGGTAGTTGAAGAAGGTTTGGCCGTAGGGAAATCGGTTGGCCTGAAAGGGAATTTTGGAGGTGAGGTAATTATTGTTTCCGACGTCGAAGAGGGAATCCCCGAAAACGAACAATGCGGCGTCGTTTGTTGGTCGGCATGATTTAGCACAGCAGCGAACTGGGATGATACAGAGAAGTGAAAAGAGACGGATAATTAAACCAGAAGTGGCCATCTATTCCAAAGTTTTAGAATTGAGCATAGATGGTTAGTGTTATGTGAAGGTACTAAAACAGAGGAGAGTGTGACTGTGGAGTGGTGAAATGTGATAGTGAGCCAAGAATCCAACGCGGCCCCTCCGGCATTGTTTGTTCATTTTAGGCCCCGCAGGAAGTTTCTTGATGAAAGCGGAATAGAAAAAGTGTATTTATCATACAGGGAGCCTTGTATGAGTTTCATTTAATCTACGTATTTATAATGTCAAATTACTAAAACAACCCTCATAAGTTGGAAAATCTATGATCAAGGTCATTATTGTCAGAAACACAGGCTCATTTGGCACAAAGAATTAATCATGCTGGAAGGGAAGGAAAAGAAATGAAATGAGAAAATTCCAAGCACTGACACGTTTGATATGCATTTGAATGAAGAAATTTATATTTGACAGGAAGAAAATGATAATATAATTGAAAAAGTAAAGAGCGACCCACTTTAATATCATTATTTGAAAATAATAATAAAATATTTGATTTCTTGTTATTATTAATTAAAAAATGTCAGAATAATTATTTATGATTATACTCATGTTAATTCTCCTTATCCGGTTCATTTAATTTTCTAATTAAAATCTTAGTTGAATATCATTTATTATTATAATTTAATTACCATTATTATAATACTATCGCTGATAGTTAACTAATTTGAATAGATTAAAAAAACTAGTTAAATTAGTTATTTATAATAATTAGGGATTATTTTTCTTAAAATATCTTTAACAATTAAGTGTATTAACCAATACTATTATTATTATAAGGTCCACCTTAAAAAAATATATAACTATGAAAGATAAAATGAATTAAGATTTTATATTTATAAATAAAATAAATATTGAACTAGGGAGGAAAAAAATAGCAAAATTGTCATTTCAAATGTGGGTCTCACCACGGTTCAGGAATTTGGCTTCCCCGTGTTCCAGACTTCCAGCGTAGAGATGCGAATTGGTGGGCCCAGGAAAACGTCTTTCCACATGAAAGATGCTACCAAACGTCTTTGCTGCTGGAAAACGAGTTATTCTCCATTTCCGGTTTCTTCGCAATACTATTTTCTCTGTACCAAACAGGCACAAAGATGGAAAATTGCAACACGACGCAAACCAAGGAATCTGCGAGCTAGATCGTTGAATAGCCACCACCTGAGGAGTTCGATTAGAGATTTGTAAGCTACAGCGATCCTCTGCCGTCGCTAACACCGTCAAAAGCTTTGAAAAAGCTTTGGAAACACAAGTGCTTTTGGCTATGTTTGGATTGCAATTGGAGAAGCCAAAAGCACACGGGAAAGCGTGAAACTGAGGTTAGTGGCTTATTGCAGCTTAGAAGATTGTTTGGATGAGACTCCTTTTCTAACTGACTTATGAGAAAAAGTAACTTTTCTAACTGACTTATCCAACGTAATCTGAATCAACTTTTCTAACTGACTTATGGGAAAATTGTGCAAAGCTTACGATCTAATTAGTCATGTGATTTCGTTTACTTTAATTAGAGACCAAATAAATTTTAATTTATATTCTTGTTTATCCATTATGTATATTTAATTAATTATCTACAATGTGTTTTCAAATTTTTCTCCATAACAAATATTTTTATTTTATAATCTCACAAATAACGTATTTATATTTTATCATAATAATTTTATGTATTTTTTAAACTATTATCACATTAAAAATATTAAATTTCAAACACTACTGTTCAATAAAATCCATGCCCTTTTCAGTCATTTACAACTAAACTAACTTTTCTATTAATTATCCAAACAACTTTTAACTTTTTCAACTGACTTTTTATAAGCACCTATCCAAACATAAATCATATTATACTAACTGACTTTTACTCTAACTTCAGTTATAAAAGTCAGTTAGACTATAAGTCAGTTTTGTCCAACGCCAATCCAAACATACCCTTTGTCGTTGTCGTTTGTTCGCTGGTGAGATGTCATCCGAGGTCGCTGAAATTCCTTGCCGGTCTTCCCCTGTCGTTGCCTTATCGTCACCGTCACTGGAAGAGTTAGAGGGAAGAAGGGATAAAATGGGGGGGGGGGGGGGGAGAGAGAGAGAGCTGAGGAGGGCAACGACGTGAATTCCATGAAATAAAATTCAGGCCTTTTGGCTGGAATCAGAATTCCTAGGAATCAAACATGCTTTCGGCACATAATCCATTTCCAATTCTGATTCCATGTTCAGGATTTCCACCTACCAGACAGGGCCTTACTTTTGCAATGCTTTTGAAATTAATTTGTAAACAAGTTAAGTTCATCAATTTTTTCCATTAATTAATTTGCTCGGAAGCTTCCACGCCCCAAAACATTCTCACTTTTTTTTCTCCTTTTATACAGATACAAAGGCAAACACTAAAACAATCAAAGATTAGGGGCCATGTGCCCGTAATTCAAATCCTAATGCGTAAGAATCTTACACTAAAATAAAGATTCCAACATAAGATTGCATTCTCCGGTCAAAAAAAAAACATAAGATTGCATTCTCCCTAAATTATGATTATAAGTACACAAAACTCGAATAAATTAATTGGTGCACATATTGATTTTGTTGCAGCCTTAGATAATAGCTTGTGTAGCCCCTCTCATTTCATGAAGGGGATTGGATTTTTAGATGGAAAGAGCTGAGACGCATTTCATTGTGATGCCTTTGGAGTTGCTGAGAGCATAGGCCTGACACAATAATAATAATAATTAATCAATCGTAATTACTATGATTTTTGCTCTTAACATATCAATAATTGATTTGTGAAAAGGCCTGATTAATTACCAAACGACTCTTTATCAATTTGGCGCTGTGTACTTCATTTTTCGAGGAAGTAATAATGTCTTTCAAGTTAACGTTCATGTCACAATCCATAGCAAGCTGCAACAAAATGGAACGATCCAACAAGCTAGATCAGGTCTCTAAGCAATAACAATTCATCAAGATCAATATATATGTGTGTGTGTGTATTTTGTCGAAGTTTTAAATATAATTTATATCCATAGCATATATACAATATATTAACAAAACATTAATGAAATCATAACCATACAACAACAGTGAAATTTATCCCACTAGATACTAAATAGGATCAGTTATATGGACCACACGATATATACTATAACTAAATAAAAAAATTGCTTAAATTAGAAGAATGATTTCATCTCCCAAACTAAAGTATATGTAATACTAATGAATAATTAATGTGGAGCTTATTAATTTTCTGTACGTTGCTTCCGCAATGGGAGGAGATAGAGGATGTTTTTCAAATTTGAGGTACGTACATATGGTAAGGTAAGCGTGCATGAATAAACTTGAGTTACTGGATATGGAGCTTGTCAAATAATCATCTCTCTCAAAAATCTTAGTAATATATTAAGTATCAATTTAATTGATCACTAATACGATATAGTAACAAGTTAAGTATATGAATAACTATTAGTAACAGAATAAAATAAAAAGATGGAAACGAGACTCTACTTTCATATTTAGAAAATTGATAATAATATTAAATAATAAATATTACAAAAAATATATATTGCATCATATCAAATAAATGAAGTTCATATTATATTTAACTTTAAAGTTGTAAATATTCAGAGCAAAGCAGAGTAATGAATCTAATCTGATCTAAATCAATATGGGAAAAAAGACAGAGAAAAGTCACCTTTATAGTAAGAAAATTTAGATGAAGAAACCAAAGATGGACCTTGGCATCTCCTAAGATTTTCATGTCAGAAATGTTCCCTTTTGACTCATCATCACCAGTAGTCTTTGAAGCCTTGGCCAAGATTTTGGAGACATTGACGCACTCTAACAAAACACGACAATGCACCACAACATCTTCACTATGAGGAGGCTGAAAGAACCTCGGAATTCGTATGGTTCCTATGGGAAAATCCTCGTGATAGACACGGAACCTCGCAGGACTAAACCCTAATCCAAACTTGTTATGATTTTCAGCATTAAGGGTCAATGAGAGCACAGACGAAAACAGAAGGGTTAGGTTAGAGTTACGATCACTGTCAACATCGTAAAAATCCATGTTAACCTCTCGAACTGAGAAAACTGGCTTGTGGGGTTTGATGATTATGATCACAAAGAACGTAGATAAGCCGATTATAACGAGGGCGATGAGGAAGAAGATGAGGAGAAAGAAGCAAAACTTTTTGAAGGAGAAGTTATGGAGGGAGAGTTCTCTGCAACAGAAGCAATTTGAATTGCGGGTAGGGTTGGAAGCCTCCATGTTTGGAGCTTTAGAAGTAGTTAAGAGTGAAGTGGATTGGAGAATAATAGGCGTGTCTGGTCTTATTGGTATAATTAAGGAGTATTACTTCAATGGCATTAAGGAGGGAATGTGATTACTTCCTTTTATCGTTAGCTGACAGTTATTCCTTTCCATATTGATGCCAAAACGTTTTGAAGAGAAAACCTGTGCAGCAAGCAACTTCTTCCTTCTGGCTCTTATCTCTTTAATTAATTATTCAAATCCCATGTGAATAAAATGAAATTACTTGGGAAAACTTTTCTGAACTTTTCTCTCTTAAGAAAAAGAAATTCTCGTATTTGATGGGCACTTTGAGTCTTAACTATTTTTTAAGAATGCAGTGCTCGATGAAGAAAGCTGTGACAAGTGTTCACCGGAGAAGAGGAAGAGGGTGTTGCCGACGGCTAGAGCTCCTGAAAATTTGAAGACAATCGAACAGAAGGAGGAAGTATTTGATCAAATCTAGAAATTCGAAGAAAGCCCAGGGATATTTTAGTCATCAGAAATAGATTCCCAGGAAAGTATGGATTTTCATGGGTGGAAATCCATTTCTTAGAAACACAATTTCATGCCAACCACACTACAGGAAGTGGAGCTTCCATTTCCCAGAACCCATTTCCACCGAACCAAACAGGGTCTTTTAGGCGGACACGCACAAAGGATCTTTTTAAATAGTCAGTCGGCACCCTTTTCACCTTTAAGCAAAATATAAAAACATGTGACCTAAGCCTGGCGTTGGGGCGAGAAAAAAGCCGGACATGCATGTTTCATCTTTCA